TCTTTTTTTTTTTTTTTTTAAAAATGGATTCTGATACTGAATAACAAGAGTGACAGAGGTAGACCTGTTTCTGGAGGCTTCTGCAGGGAAAGGTGGGAAGGAACGGAGCGCTACTCTGTCACTTCAGTCCCAGGATGGGGTCAGGACCCTGGGCCGACCCAGGCTGTGATGTGGCTGCCTGACCAGGTGATCCTGAGGCCTGGGGACCCCCAGGAAGGTGCCAGGAAGGCTGAGACAGAGCAGGTGCTGGCAGGGTGGACACCAGGAGTGTCGCTTTGCCACGCCACGTGGACACCTGAGTTGCGTCACGGAAACGTGGATGGGCTTCCAGGGATGGCTGAGAGTAACTGTGAGTTTAGATTGGAGCTTGGCTAAGAAGAGGCCTTAAGAATTTTGGGCTGTAGTTGGGGATTTTTGAGTATGGAATAAATACTGGATAATATGAAGTTATTAAAAGTTTTCAGGTACGATTTGGTGGTTATATGGAAAATATCTATTCCAGTGCTATTAGGGCCCGAGGGAGAGGGCTGAAGGAAGAGCGGGGTCCCTTCCCCTCAAGTCCACTTCCTGGCTGGATCTGAGGCATCAGGTAACCAAGGAGACGGCTGGGGAAGAGGGAGGGCCACTGTGGAGCTGCTTTCTAGGGGATCCGAGGACAGGATGCCTGGGCCTCCATGCCATGGAAGAGGTCGCAGGGAGCTGTACCTCTGCAACACAAGTATGCACTTGCACCCCACGGCTTCTGTGGCCCTCATTACCACGTCACTGACTATGCAGCATGGACCCCATGGGCCCTGGGTGCCAGGACAGGTCCTCCAGGGCCTTGAAAGGTCAAAAGCCACGCTTGAAGGAGGGGCAGAGCCAGGTGCTGGAGCTCGGACCAAACCCTCAATCTCACCTGTCAGCGCTGTTTCTGGACGTCCCCCAAGGCCTTACATGGTTGCAGGTGGCTTTCAGAGGTGTCTGGATCTATAGTGTGTGGCCCTAGGGTTAAGGGTGGTGAAAATAAACCAGCCCACTGCTTGGTTTGGCACCGCCCTAATCCTGGTGGCCTAGATACAGCCTAAAATGGGCAGAAAGAAGCTGCTGGGCCTCTTGCTTGCTCTGCTATCCTGTCCACCGTGAACCGTTTCTCCTCTGTGATGCCCCTCGGCTGTACCATCCTGCCTTGGAGCCAGCCGATGACAGACTGAGATCTCCACAAACTGTGGGCCAAAAAACCTTTCCTTTAACTTTAGGTGATGAGTATTTTGTTTCAACAATGAGAAAAGTAACGAAGACACCACCCTTAAACCTATACCTTAAAACCCTCAGCACCGAATTCCAGGGACTGTGAGCTCTTCTCACCGCCTGCTCCCGCCCTGTGAGTGGATCTTCTCTTTTCCCCTTCAAACCAATCGTCCATCCTCTGCAACTCTGCGGTGTCCTGCCCGGTTCTGTTTCAGACACCATGGGCCTGGCCAAGACCTGACCCAGTGACAGCTTTGCTCCTCCAGGCCTTTCTGCCATGTTGCTCCCCCTTGGAGCCATGGACTGGATCTCCTGAAACCACGAGCGGCCCTAACTCTCTCCCCCTGTGTGTTGTGGCGCCAGGTGCTGTGTCCTGGGACAGAGGCTGACGGGCACCTCTGCTGTCCTCAGGCTACTGACCCGCTGACTGGTGGAGGTCGTGGGCCTCCTGCCCCTCCCTGTGCGGGCCTTGTCCCAGCCTGATGATCCCTGCCTGGGCTGTGGCCAGAGGTCCCTGAGTGGTCTGCACACAGAGCCCCTCCCCCTGCCCTGCTGTGTTCCCACACAGGTGCAGGCCCAGGCTTTTCCCAGAGTCCTGGTCACACCTTTGTGGTCAACTGCACAATTTCTGCCCTTCTGGGCTATGACCTCTTCTCTATGGGTTATTGCAATACAGTAGCTTTTAGTTCACTCACCACATTATTTTATTTATTTATTTATTTTTTGAGACAGGGTCTCACTATGTAGTTGAGACTGACCTGGAACACACTATGTAGCCCAGGCTTCTCGAACTGTTCACTCACCACATTATTTTATTTATTTATTTATTTTTTGAGACAGGGTCTCACTATGTAGTTGAGACTGACCTGGAACACACTATGTAGCCCAGGCTGGTCTCGAACTGACAGTGATCCTCCTGCCTCAGCCTCCTGAGTGCTGGGATTACAGGCGTGCACCACCATGCCCAGCTCACTCACCACAGTTTTTAGCCACCATGCGAGTGTCCCAAGATGTTTTCATTGCCCCAGGAGGAAGCCCTGTGCCATTCCCTATATGCACTACTCACCCTCCTCCCTAGTCCCTGGCAGCCACTGATCCACCTTAGCCTCTGTGAAACTGCACATTCTAGGCATTTCACACACATGGAACCACACAGTGTGTGTGGTCTTGTGTGTCTGGCTTCTCTCACTTGGCACACATTTTTAAGGCTCACTGGTTGCAGCCAGAGTCAGTTCCTCTCCTTTTTATGGGCTGAATAATATTCCACTGCACAGCTACCCCATGTTTGGAGGGATGTTATGGAATATTTATGTCCCCTCCCAAACTCAGGTTGAAATCCTCACCCCTCTTCGTGTAACAGTGTTAGGGGGAGTAGGGCCATGGGAGATGAGGTGGTAAGAATGGAGGCCCCTGGCACAGGGCTAGTGCCCTTTGGAGAATGAGACACTGGAGAGAAGACCTCTCCACCTATGGGGACACAAGGAAGAGGCAGCTGCCTACCAGCCAGGCAGCAGCCCTCACCCGCCACGCCTGGTGTGGATGTCCACCCCCAGAGCCAAAGGAGCAAGCAACTTGGGCCAGCATCTGGAAGTGACTGGGGCCGGGGCCTCTGTGGGCAGCACTGGCGATGGTGACCTCTGGGGTGTCCCCGTGGACTTGTGAGGGATGTGACATGGGGCTGGAGTGCTGTGGGTTCGTCTCCCCGTGGCTGAGTGGAAATAGCCCTGTTCTCCTGCGGTGGGAGAGGAGGAACAGATGGGGGTCCTGGGTGTGCCGCGTGGCATCCCCTGGCTTTGTGCAGTGCGCAGTCTGGGCAGCTGCATGGGACAGTCTGGGTGGCCCAGGGTTTGTGGGAGTGGTGACTGAGGGCTGTCCCAGGTCCCTCCTTCCGCAGAGGCTGCTGGGCTCGTAGTGTCCTTCCAGGCTGACCTCCCAGGAGGGGACACAACACAGCCACAGATGTGCATGGACAGGGCCAGGCTTTATTGGGAGAGCGGAAGGCAGTGCGTAGAGGGGAGCGGGGTGGAGGCTCTGGTCTTCAGGGCCGTGTCCAGCTCCCATCCCCAGGGGACTCAGGGCCACCTGGTGCCCAGTGGCAGGTCAGCCGACATCGCGGACCGGGCCCGGGGACCTCATGCAGTGCTGCCCTGCTCCTCCCGAAGCGGCCCACGGGCCGGATGCCGCGGCCAGCGTACCAGGCTGGGCTGATGTCCGGGGCTGGAAGAGAGAGAGGCAGCACGTGGAGCCCCGTCCCTCGTTGTCCCCTGTGGGCCATCACCCTGGCCAGCCCCACTGCCCAGCAGTGCAAGACTGACGCCTCTGTGTCTGGGAGTGGAGTCCCCTCCCACTCAGGGCTGGGTCTGGTGGGTGAGCACAGCAGGTGGGCATCCCAGGGCTGGGGCTGGAAGTGGGATGGGGTGGGCACTCACTGCGGGCCTCCATGGAGTGTGGACGGGCGCGGCTGGTGGCCGCCCGCAGTCCCAGGCCCAGCAGCAGCAGCAGGCAGAGGAGCCAGGCCCTCGGGGCAGCCATGTGGATCCACACGGGGAGCCTGCAGCCTGGGCCTGGGCAGGGGGAGTGGGTCACACATGCGTGGGCATGTGTGCGCAAACCCAGGGCCCGAGCTCATGCATGTGCTGCATGTGTGAGAAGTGAGTGGGGGTGTGAGTGCACCATGGGCAGTGTACACACGTGTGCAAGGTGTGATCAGAAAGCAGTGCATTTAAATAAAAAGTGCACTGTGGTAAAAGACAGCCTCGAGCCCCCGGGATGCCCCTTGGTTTCAGCACAGCCATCCCATTGTCCTCGCCATGGTCTGCAGTGGCCCTGGAGCCTTCTCTCCCGATGTCTTTGGTTTTGCTATCCTGGCTGCTCTGTTGTCCTGAGTGGATTCAAAACATTTCCCTCTCACAGTCATTTTGACTTTGGGGAAGAGCCGGAAGTCTCATGGGGTCAGATCCGGAGAATGAGGGGCTGAGGACACAGCGCCAGCTTTTCCCGAGCTGCCTTTCCTCAGATGGTGCTGGCCAGCAGCCGTCCCTGCATTTTTGATCACAGCTTGCAAAGACACTCAGGAAAGAGGGCTCTGGAGCCGCCTCAGGCAGTGGCAAGAATGGTGGCACAAACTGCCGTACTTTCAGGGGACGGACAGCAATGTGTCTTTTACCACAAAAAGAGTTTAAACGCTGTCTCTTTGGATCACCGGTGTGTGCATGGGTGTGTGCGCATGTGCACAGGTATGTGGGGCATCATCCCCGTGTGCCCTCTAATCTGTCTCTTGCGGGACTCTGAAGTGGCCTTGCTCTGTGGTGTCCTCTCCCTGCTCACCGAATCCCCCACCCGATGGCCTGGACCCGGGGTGGGCTCCGTGTATGCTCTTCCCACAGGCACCCTTGGGGGCTCCCCAAGCCTCAGCCTCAGCGGTGCTGCTGATTCCCCCACAGCACTGTTCTCCTCCCAGGCCTCCTTCTGGCACCGTCTGCCGCTGCCTGGGGTGACCCCTCCACTGACCTTGACTGTCTCACCCCTCCTTGAGCTGCACAGGAAGTACTGTCGGCCGTCCCCCTTATAGAGCCCTGTTGAGGCCCCGCAGGGGCCAGGGGTCCCCAACCTATAGGAAATGGGTTCCAGCTTGGAGAGTATCAACACAGGCGGCCCGTGGGCTGGCCCTTGGAGTGTCCCCCCCGGCTCCTCCCACTCAGCACCAGCCCGCTGTCCTGTGTGGGCAGGGGCAGGGAAGCCCACCTTGCACCCTCACCTGTGGGGACTCACCTGTCTTCAGGAGGTGACACTGTCCAGCGTCCAGGTGTGGGAGGCCAGGTGGCAGCGGCTTCCCTTTTGTACCTTCCTGGGGATGCGGCCTGAGCCCTGCTGCCCTCCCCCGCCGTCCCTAAGGAGACGGGCTCCTCTGTTTCCTTCCTCCCCCTCTTACTTATCTCTTTAAACTCATGAGCAGTGTGATCTGTCCCTTCCTGGATTATATAATCTCATTTGGGCCAAGTGCTTTAAAACGCATTAACCTCCTCTCAGCTCGCCTTTGGCTCTGAGAGTGGTGACCGCAGCACAACAGCTGCCCTCCCCGCCTCGGCTTCAGGGCAAGGATGGGGTGGATGCACCCACAGCCCACATGGCCACGGCCCCCTGCATCTAGCCTGTCACCCTGAGCCATTTCCTCCCTCATTCTGCAACCAAAAAGACCCCTGCTTGGCTTTTCTAGTCTTCATAAGCATGCACGCTTATCACTGTCTTTAGACAAATAGATTTATTTTTCCAATAAAAGCAATTCATGTACATTGGGGAAAACTATACTACCTGCAGCATGGATGTTGTCCTGAGTGTCCCACACACTTCCTGGAAGGTCCACTCTGCTTACACAGGTCTCAGATTCTTTCACTGGCCACAGCCTTGTGCTCTGAGACACCTGCACACCTGTGCTGTTTCAAATAACTGTGCGGTATTTTACCATTTAGCCAGGCCTCAGACCCGCATTGGTTCCTATCTGGAGACACAGCAAGGGCCTCTAGGTGCAAACCAATATTGTCTTCTGGGAGAACCGTGCTGGAGAGGAGAGCAGCAGGTTGCTTCTCCTGGACTCATTTCCTGGGCGGGGCTGGATATCGGGAGAGAGCTCCGGACAGCCCATCACCCCCAGAGCTGTTCTCAGGCACAGTGCCTGTCCCTGGAGAGGGAAGGTTGTGTCTGGTGGGGACCTGGTGTGTGTAGGGGCTCAGGGTAAGGAGCAGGGGAAGATTCGCCATCCCCTTGGAATGGGCTGCCCCTCACATGAGTTCCTGGGCAGCGTGGGCAGTGGAGGTGCTCTGCTGGGTAGTGTCCACTGGAGGGTGCCCAGCTCCAGGGCCTCCCGAGGCAGTGGGTGCTGAGACCCGGGGGCTGGAGCTTGCGGTCCTGGACACTACCACGTGCAAGCTGTGTGTGCACACATGTGAGGGTGTAAGCGTGACTGTGTATAGGTGAGGCAGCTTCAATGGTGTGGTCTGGGCACCTCGCCACCTTGGGGTGTGTGGGAGGGAGGCAGAGGTGGGAGGCAGGTGTCAGTCTTGTCCCCTGTCCCCTAGACAGCCCTGGACATCCCTTGAGGGCACTGGATGGCTGGAGGTTCTGGGTGCTGGTGGTAGAAGGTGAAGGACTGTCACCCTATAGGGCCGGGCTGCAGGCCTGGCTAGGCAGCTGTGGCACCAGCCTTGGTGTCCTTAGAGAGGGGACCCTGCAGGCTTAGGTTCCAGATGGAGGTTGGGAGCTCTTCCCACACCTTTGCCCAGTGGGCCTCAGAGCCATATGCTTTTGGTCTGGCTTTGTTTGGCCAGGGCATCACCAGACAGGCAGGGCCGGAGGAGGCAGTCGGGGGCCCCAGAGAGAGTGTGCCGGAAGAGGCTGGAAGAGCCTAAGACTGCGGCACTCGGATATGTCAGATACAGTGGACCCTCCTGACACTTGAGTTCTGACTTCCAGGCTGCGAAAGAGAAGGGAGCACATTTTGTGGTTGTGTTCTCCCGGCTGATGGAACTTTGTCCTTGAGGCCACAGGGCATTGGCATGGCACCTGAGCGAACTAACAGAACATTCCCTCCTCATTCTCATTCTGGAGGATACGAGAGTCTGTGGCTGTGGCCTGTGTGCCCCGTGTGCCTGAGAGTCTTTCGGGAGACGCTGGGAGCCCTGGGTGACAGCTTCCATCCCAGCTTGGAGGTGGCTGGCTGTGGGAGGAAGCATCAGTTATCAGCCAAGCCCTTTCCGGTAGAGATGGCATGTGAAACCCCAGTTCTGGCGAAAATTTAAAAGCACTCATTTCTGTGAATTGGCCAAGTTTACTTCAGAAGTATGAGTCATCCAGAAAGTGCAGGTCACGGGCCACTGTTCAGATGGTATCCTGAAGTCTTGTCCAGGGAGGTGCTCCCGGGGTGGGGGAGGAATTTGGGCTGTCAGTGATGCTGCTGCCCCCGCCTGTGGGCCGCAGGGGCCAGCAGAGGGGCAGGCAGGCATCCTCTCCTCAGCACCCAGTGGGTCCTGTGTGCAGTTGCCGCCTGGTATCCCGCTGCACTGGCACAGACCTGGGCCCCTCTGCCCTCACCTAACGTGGGCAGGAACTTGGTCACCTCCACACAGCACAGCCAGATGCGGAGGGCTGGAAGACCAGTAACAAGGTCACTGTGTCCTTCCATAGCTTGAGACGGTGCCACCCTGTGGTCACCTCAGCTCAGCTCCGCAGGGCTCAAAGCTGGGCAGGTGGCCCTGGCACCTCCAGACAACTGGGTCTGAGGTGCCGGCATCTGCAGCCACAGGCCACATAGACAGGCGTCTTCCAGCTTCTCTCTGGGGCGGTGATCGAGTGTGGCAGGAAGTGTGGTGCCTGGGAGGCCGCGTAGTGGATGCAGGGTGGGGCTCCCAGGGCCTCTGTCCTGGTCCCAAGCCTCCTCTTAAGGCTGCTGGGCCATCACGGGTTTCTGCAGAGCACAGATACATGGACACGTGAGTGTACACAGCCTCCCCTTGCATGAGTGCACGTGGATGCTCACAGACACCCGAGGGACACACAGGTGCACACAGTAAAGCACACCCCCAGATGGGCACAGATGGCTTAGATACAGGGTGTGTGCCAGGGCACAGGCACTGTGATGCTAGCAGACACCTGTGCAGGTGTGCACAGATGTACAGGTGTGCTCACTCACAGCCACACACACTGAGACACACACTCAGGCTCAGGAGTGTGCATACTGTACATGGCCCTCGGGAGGGCACGTGGCTGCACACCACACCCACACGGGTTGATGTGGTGGGCAGATGCCTGTTTGACTCTCTGCAGGTGTCTGCCGGCTCCTGGGATTTTTACACAACTCCCTGCTCCATCTCCACAGCTGTGAGCGTGATCACTATGCAGGGCCCCATCCGAGGTGTGGGTGGCACCAATCAGACAGAAAGAAGGTTGCTGCTGCTGCTACTTCCTGCCTCCCCTGCCCTGGACTGTTTCTCCTCTGCGATGCCCCTCTGCCACTCTGGCCTGCCTTGAAGTCAGCCAACTATGACTGAAACGTCTACAAACTGTAAGCTGAAATAACCCTCTCCTCCTTTATCTTGTGTGCATTTTGTCCTAGCAATGAGAAAAGTAACTGAGACACCTGCCTTGGGCATGTTGCTATAGTAATGAGAAACGGACCGATACACCGTGTGGGCCCTGGGCCATCCTGAGCCTCTCCACAACCTGCTCATCTGAGGTTGCAGGGCTGTTTGGGAAGTGCTGTGGGGCACCTGGACCACATGCAGAAGGCAGCTGACCTGGGCCCCTGGGGACCCGAGGCTGCAGGTGGCAGGTGGGTCACCAAGTTGTACTTCTTGCAGGAAGTTCTGGTGTTTGAGTGGAGCCCGGGCAATGAACCTCCCACCCAAGCCGGGGACAGCCTCTGACCCTCGCACCTCATCTTGGGCCCACCTGCACAGATCATGGGAGACCAGGGGCCTGGGGAGGGCGTCCTCACTGCTTCAGTGTGAGCCACCACAGTGAGAGGGGTCACCTGGTGACACCGCCTGCCTCCATGTTTCTGCCTCAGTGGTCCAGGCTGCTATGGTTAGGGAATTTTCCAGTGTTTCTCTCCTTTGCTTTTTGCTTCAGCTCTCTGGCTTTTGTTTCTGTTTATCCCAATTTTCTTAACTCTGAGGACTTAACACCCATTTGTAAATCTGGCAGGGGATAGAACTCAAGGCTCCTGAGAAAGTGCAATGAAGAGGGTGCACAAGTGGGTCCTGGTGGTGTATGCCTGTCATCCCAGCACTTGGGAGGCTGAGGCAGGAGGATCTCCATGAATTTGAGGCCAGCCTGGGTTACATAGTGAATTCCAAGGCCAGCACGAACTATACAGTGAGAGCCTAACTCAAAACAACAGAAAAAACAACAATAAAACACTACCGCGAAGATGTGGCGAGCCATGCCCCTCCTGCTGCTGGGGCTCCTCTGCGTCAAGGATCCACGGTACAGTGACTTCTGCTCTAAGGACTCCTGGTCTTTGCCTGTGGGAAACAGAGAGGGAGGAGTTTTATGCATTGTAAACCTACCCCAAGTCAGAGCGTGAGTGACCTAAGGCCTTTGGAGAGGAACCCATCAGTGGATGGACCCTGTTTCTGTTGCAGCTGTGCCCACCTCAGTTTGAAGCTTTCTTGCCTTGTGGCTTTGGGGCAGGGTCTACATGGCCCCTGGAGGCTGCCCTGGCAAAGCACCATGGGTCTGTACCCTCTCTCTCTTTTAAGGTTTGGTGCACAGCCAGTGCTGGGAGTCACACCCTGCCCATAGTCTCTCAGGGCGCCAACTGGCTGCAGTTCCTGCCGCTCCTCGGGTTTGGCTGAGTGGGTGAAGCCCCAGCCATGTCCCTGCATCTTGGGTGGGAACCATCCTGACCTGGCAGTCGGGCTTGAGGTGGTCCAGCTCCCAGGCTCCTTCTGGCCGCCCTGTGGGGGACACTGCCCTCGGGGCCTTTCCTTTCTCCCTGCCGCTCCCCTATCTCCCAGGTGTCCTCCTGGCTTGCTGTCCCTGTCCTGTCTCCTCCCAGCACGGTGCACCTGGCCTGGAGCGGTGGCCCCAGGATGGCCTCTGCCCAGGGAGCTGCCTGAGCAGGGTCTGACACAGAGCAGGAGGACACAAGTGGCCCTGAGGAGGGTCCTGCAGACCCTGTGACCTGCACACAGCCAGGAGGTCATGGCACGAGCAGCCAGGAAGGGCTGCTTAGCCCCAGGTGCCCTGTGGCTCCCCAGCCCAGACGAGACATGGCCTTGGGGACATGCCCCCGTCCCCGTGTGGTCACACAAGTATCCCTCACAGGGGCATCGCCTCTGCCCTGTTGCTCAGCTGTGGCCCTGCGTTGCAGGCCCTAGGCACCTGCCTGGTCCTGGGGCAGAGCTGGGTGGGGACCCGGAGGGAGCCAGCACAGCGATGGCCACAGGGTCAGGGTCACTGGACAAAGCTGCTGTCCTTATCACCACCGGAACCTCAGGGGGAAGGAGTGACCTTGTGCTGGCCCCAGGGAAGGAATGGTGAATGGCATGAACACGGGCACCCTAGATGGCCTCAGCGGGGACCCTGACCACAGGGTCCTGCTGTACAGGGTCCCCCATGCCAGGCCTGAGGGGGCCAGAGTGGCCCTAGGTTGTTCTTTTTTTAAAATTTTGTTTTCTGAGACAGGGTCTCACTATGCAGCTCAGACTGGCCTTGGACTTGTGGCAGTCCTCCTGCCTCAGCCTCCTGAGGATTACAGGTGTGGGCCCCATGCTGAACTGGAGGGTCCATTAGAGTCTGGGCAGGAGGTGGGTTCCACAGAGTGCAGAGAACTCTGTAAACCTCATGGGCCACTGTTCTCCCACCCCGAGTGACTTCCCAAGCCCCTGGGAGGATGGGAGCAGGACTCTTACCATGAGCTTTGGGGGAGTACTTTCCCCTGAGAAGACAGGGCGCAGCTGCTGCCTGGGAGAAAGAAAATGTCCCTGGTCATCAGCATTTAGAAACACTGCGGCTGAGTTCAGGCTTCTTTCTTTTTTTTTCCTTTCTTTTTGCAGCTGTGACTTCCCAAGCCCCTGGGAGGATGGGAGCAGGACTCTTACCATGAGCTTTGGGGGAGTACTTTCCCCTGAGAAGACAGGGCGCAGCTGCTGCCTGGGAGAAAGAAAATGTCCCTGGTCATCAGCATTTAGAAACACTGCGGCTGAGTTCAGGCTTCTTTCTTTTTTTTTCCTTTCACTTTTTGCAGCACCAGGGACTGAACCCAGGGCCTCCGCACTGAGCTACATTTCCAGCTCCTTGTTATCTTTTTGATGCACGGTCTCTCAGTAATGGGCTAAATTGCACAGGCTGGGCTAGAACTTGCAATCCTCTCCTGCCTTGGCCTCCCAGAGCACTGGGATCACAGGTGTGCACCAGCATGTAGGCTGAGAATGTATCTCTTCTGCATTAAAGAGAGGGGGGTAGCAATCAACAGCCACAGGGAGTATTAGGACTCCCCACGGCCCCATCTCACAGAGGGGAAGATGAGGCTCACGTGGGAGGAGTCCACATCACTGTACACGGCGATGGGGGACTCAGCAACTCGGGGGGACTCCACAATTTCAAAATAAAAATTAGAAAAGGATGGGAACACAGCTCAGTGTGGAGGCCCTGGGTTTAATCCCCAGTGCTGAAAATAAAATCTACTCTCGGTGTGGCTTTCTCAGAAGTAGAACAGGCCAAATGGCCCAAGTCATCTAGAACTGCCTAGCACCTGTGCCTGGCATTGTCCTTGCCGGTTTTGTGGCAGCCCCTGCAGGTGGCTTCTGGGGCCCGTGGAGCTCATGGCCCAGGAGAGGATGGGACGTCAGGGCTCTGGGCCTGGCTGGGACCCTGCTGTGATGACCCCATGCGACAATGGTCAAGCACTGTGAATAGTAGTAGTGTGAAGGGTGTTGGGCAGCACGGTGAGGGGCTGGGCGGAGCCACCCGGGGCTGCAGACATAACAGGAAGTGACTGCACATGTACGGGGCTCACAGCTACGGGGCTGCGGGCAGGGCCTGGGCCTCCCAGGGTGCAGGGAACGGCACCCCCAAGCCTGCTCCTAACCTTTTCACATGGCAATGCCCCCAGCTCCTCCTCCTCCACGCCCCCTCCCATGTCCCTGCAGGTCCCAGGATGTTTTCCTGCACACTAGCTCCTGGTTGTTTCCACTGCCAGCAGCCAGTGCCTGTGTCCCTCAGGCAGGGCAATGTCCCCAGGCCACTGTACAGGCAGGGAGTGCCCAGGAACACAGGCCATCCAGATGTGCCTTGACCTGGGGTGATATGGAGGAGGATGAAGGTTGGGGTGGTTTAGCTTGCTGTTCTGATTGGTTAGGGCCTTTTAGGTGAGCACACTTCTGAGTGTGTCATGGAGGTGTGATTTTGGGGTCTATGTCTGGTCCCTGGTCTCTTCCTCTCTGGCACTGTCCCCCTGCTGTTTCCAGGCCCCATGAAATAAGCAGCTTTGCACCTCCAGGCCCTTCCACGATGATCTCCTGATTTGCAGCAGCAGCTGACCATGGACTGAATCCCCTGAAACCGTGAGCCCAATTAGCCTTCTCCTCCTTTAAGTGCAGGTGTCAGGTAGCTTATCACAGTGACGGGAAAGCTGGCCAATACCAGGACCCCACCACCTTGTACCTGAGTGAGGTAACTCCAGGGTGCTATCCCCATGTTTCCTCACAAGTTGGAGCCCTCTGGCATCCCCTTCTCCGCTCCCTTACGGTATTTTCCCCAACAAATGCCTTGACCCAAACTCTTCTCTGTGTGCACTTCCAAAGTCACCCTGCTGCTGGCCTGGACTCTGGTGGTGCTGGGATAGACACATACCTTGCCCTCCTCCGCAGGGTCTGCATTCTGACCCTCCAACCTCTTGCCAGGAGTCCTCGCCACTCGAGGAAGGAAGATCTGTAAGACAAGGGAGGTGCTGCATTTTGCCACTGTCTCGTTAAACCGAAAGGCAAGGGGTGAGAGTCGGGACAGGCTGGCCAGACATAGGATGGACAGGTAATCACTTGGTTAGGAGTGCTGGGGTAAGACAGGAGCGGTGGCACACACCTGTAATCTCAGCACTCTGGGAGGCTGAGGCAGGATGATTGAAAGTTTGAGCCCAGCCTGGGCAATTTACTGACTTAGCCAGGACCTTGTCTCAACAAACCTCACAAATAAACAGACAATGGCTAACATGTAGCTCATTGAGGAAGCCTTGGATTCAATCCCCAGTATATATTTTTTAAAAAGAAAGAGCAACACACAAAGCAACAACAATAAAAATTCCAAGAATGCTAGAGTAAACATATCACACCACTCCAGTGTTCCAGCGCCAAGGCAATAACCTCAGCAAATTAAGAAATGAGAAGCCCAGTTAATGTTCCATTTCAGACAAACAAAAGTGATTCGTAGGTGTAATTACGTCCCGAAGGTTGCACAGGCTACAAGTACACTGGAGCACCACTTGCCATTTACCTGAGATGTGGTGCTCACCATGTTTCCCTGGCAACCCCAGGGGCCTGGAGGGCACCCACCCTCCTCCACCCTCTCCTCCCAGCCAGGTCCTGGGATCAGTGGGGGAGGTGCTGGCTTCAGACTCCTGCTGGAGGGCGAGTCCAGGACATGGGCCTCCCTGTGCACCCACAGTCTTAGGATAGCAGCTTGTGAAGCCCCGGGTAGGGGTCTGTATGCCAGGTTGCTGACTGCAGTTTAGGCTGTGCGTTTCTGGTTCTCAGGGCAGAGACTGGCCCTGCCGGAGCTGCACAGGAGCCTGCTGTTGGAGAGCAGGACCTGTGGCTCTGGAGAGGCAGGGCCCAAGGCCTTCAGCACCACGGGTTGCAGGAGGTCTTGGGGTGCAGACTTGCGGGATGCTCTGGTCCCCACTCACCGGGAGGTTTGACTTCCTCCGAGGCCTCACCGAGGGCTTCACCGTGAGCCCTGCAGCTCTGAGGGCTGCAATCCTGGACTCAATGTCGGAAACCTGGAAAGAGCAGGCGGGCGGTCAGAAGGTCGCCGCTCGGACATCTGCTGCTGGTGCTGCCCTTGGCGCTTCACCGAGCCCGTTTGCCTTCTGCTTCCCAGGAAGACCGAGTCCTCAACCCTGATGTGCACGTCCAGGGGTCGGGCTCCCCCTGCGCTCCTTCCACGGTTGGGGTGCTCTGGTGGGACCCCCACCCTAGGCAGTGGGAGGGGCTGCAGGCTGGCAGGCCTCTCCAGTGCGGGCAGCGGCAGGAGGTGTGGGTGGGGCTGTGTGAGCCCACGGGGTCACCCCTCGTGTCTTTGGAACCCGCCCACCCTGGGCCCAGGCTACCTCACTCTCCGCCTGCTGCACTTCAGAGGCCGCTGCGGCCACTCTGTCCTCCAGCTCCGACAGAGCCTCGTCTGTGGTCCTCCTGGGCACAGTGGGGGCCCCGGGGCCCAGAGGGCTGCTGTCCCAGGCGTCCATGCGGCCTGCGGCTGTGCACACCTACAGAAGAAAAGGTGAAGGTGGCCAGCAGGGGACACCGGGAGGGACCTGGCCCTTTGCCTGGAGCTGCTCAGCAAGCCTTTCACCACTCCGCACTCGTCCGAGCTCCCATGTCCCCTGCAGGCACCTGCCTGGGGAGGCTCGGCTGGGCCCGTCCACCCTCCTCCTCTCTCTGCTGAACCCCTTGTGGGCCGTGGAGGTCGCACCTCCGCGCTTGGCCCAGCCGCTGCGTCCCTGGCTGCCTCCTCTTCAGATGAGGCGCCTTGGTCACTGAGGCCGCTGGTCAGCGCCTGCAGCTTCCTCCGCAGTCTCTCCTCCTCCAGGTCGGCCTCCGTGTGTGCACTGGCCTGGGTGGGGGACTGCAGGGATAGGGCAGGGCTCAGAGGCAGGGACAGCTGCTCCGCCGCCGGGCCGGTGGAGCCCAGGTACCCATCCCACCTCTCGGCCAGCCCGTTCCCACACTGCAGAGCCAGGCCCCAGTGCCCAGCACCTCAGTAGTGCCCAGCACCTCAGTAGTGCCCATGGCCAGGCCAGGCCCACCTTATTCTGGTTTGGGGGCCCTCCTTTTCATAACGGCTGTGTCTAGATGTCTCCCCAGGCCTCATGAGGTCTTAGATGGAATTTTTACCGGAGTGGCTGGATCTAGAGTGCATGACTGATTCATGGTACGATGCTAGGCTCAGAGGAACTGAGGTTAAGGGTGTGAGTGCTGCTGCCCTAAGTAGCCTGGAGAAGATAAAGGGGCAGAGAGATGCTGTTGAGGTCCCTTGTTGCTTTTGCTGCCATGTGGATGCCACGAACTGTTTCTCCTGTTCGATTCTCTGCCTTGGAGCCAAATATGGACTGAAACCTCTACGAATCGTGAGCTAAATAAACCCTTTCCCTTGTAACTTTGGGTGTTGGTTATTTTGCCTCAGCAACTGGAGAAAAGTAACTAAGGCACCTCCTCTGTTTCTTACCATGGCTGGCCACATGCATGGAATTTACGGTTGGAGCCACTGCAAAGTGCCCAGCTCAGCGATGTAACCACACCCACACCGTGTGTGCCACCACCCACCATGGACTCTTCCTCTGTGAGCCCATGGCTGTGTTTCCCTGGACCCTGTCCTCCCCCAGGCCCTGCAGCTGCCTTTCTCTTCCTCCTCCTCCTTCTCTTTCCAGCACTGAACACCGAACCTAGGGTCCTTACTCTGAGCTCCATCTCCAGCCCTTTTTAAAATTTTTATTTTGAGTCAGGGTCTCACCAAGTCACTAAGTTGCCCAGGTTGGGCTGGAGCTTGCGATCTTCCTGCCTCAGCCTCCCAGAGTGCTGAGAATGTTGCAGGTATGCACTTGGCTGCACTTTCTTTCTGTCTTTAATTCAGACTCCTCCAGGTGTGTCATGTAAGTGAGGTCACATGGAACCTGTCCTTTTGTGACTGGCTGCTTTCACTCTGTTCATCTGTGTGTCAGCTGGGGTCCGAACCCCCTTCTTTTAAGGCCGCCCATGAGACCCCAAAGCCAAGCGCCAAACCAAGCCTCCATGGCAGGCACAGGCCTCCCTCTCCACTAGCTGAGCTCTGAGCCTTTCCTGTGGCCCTGCTCCGGCAGGAAGGAACTGACCCGAGAGCACACCTGGGGCTCTACTGCCGCCATGTCGAAACAGAAATCACCACAGCCTGGACAGAGCATAAAGGCTGGGCTCTGGGTCCTGACCTGGATTTGCTGTCCCGCCTACTGCTGCTGCCCCTACCTTAGGACAAGACTGGGTGGCAGGTGTGGACCCCAAGGCTCACACAGTGGCCGTGGCCTGTGGGACCCCATGAGGCCCCTCCACCCCTGAGGCCCTGTCACCCACCTGGCTGTGTTCTCTCTGCCTCCCCAGGCCCTGAACCTAGTCCCACTGTCACTGGTGCTCCCTGCCTGGACACTGAGGAGGGCACTGCTGCGAGTTTCTGGCCACCTCCAGCCCAGTGGCAGAGTCACATGTCCACTGAACAATGTGGCCATGAGGACAGAGTCCATCTGTCTGTCCACTCTGTCTTCCACCCGGCCTTCTGCATTTGTATGTGGACTCACGGATGCTGCACCAGGACGAGCTCAGCTCTCGTCCTTGTCACCCCTTCAGGGTGCGTCACGCTGTGCCCTGCCAGGAGGGCCAGGCCTCTCCCTGGTAAGCTGCCCAAGGCCCTGCGCCCCTGGCAGCATTGATCCCTCCTCCGCCCAGCCCTCCTGCCAGACAGGACACAGCTCACGGTCATCTAATTTCCCATTAGGACGGAGCAGCAGGCCTCCCGTGGCCACCGGCAGTGGCTAATTAGATCGGGTGCAGAGAGGCACTCAGGCCACCACCCAGACGCTCTTCTGTCAGAACCCTGGCCCTGGAGACCACAGCAGGGAGACCTGCTACAGCATGTGGTCCACAGATTCTTCTGGCTCTGCAAGGACCGCAGCTCTCCTGGATCCCACGGGAGTGAGTGATGGAGGAGCCCGTGAGAAAGGGTCACTGTAAAAGACCCATTTGCACGAATCTCCTCAAAATCCTTCCCCCTGCTCCAAATATACTCAACCCATTGTTAGGCTGGGGATTTAGCTAAGTGGTGCCATCGACTGCCTCGCAAGTGCAAGGTCCCGAATTCGATCCCAGATACCCCCCCCCAAAAAAAAACAACAAAAACCCACTGTTCTCGCCACTTTCTGAGCAGCTCAGGGGCCTCTTTCATGTGCATCTTTAGTTGCACTGTCCTGGCTCCCTGATGTTCTGACTGACTCAAAATGTTGGCCTCTTGTGGTCATTCTGACTTTGGGGAGGAGCTAGAAGTTACACAGTGCTAGGTCCAGCTACAAGGTGGATGAGTTTTGAGTTGTGTTTCTTGAGCTGCCTTTGCCTCAGATGGCGCTTGGCAACAATAGTCACCATATTTCTGATCACACCTCGTGAGGACACTCACGGAAGGGACTCCAGAGTGACCTCAGGAAGCTGTGAGTACGGCGGGATGAGTGTGTGAAGCAAGGGGAGGACTGTGAGGGAACTCGTGGTGCTGGGTCTTCTACTGTAATGCATTTCTAGAAATGCAAACCCTCACTATATATTCTGATCACCCCTTGGCACATGCCTCAGGCAGTGCACACGCAGGCACACGTATGTTAGACACCTGATGACACGCTTATGTGATGGGCAGTGGGGCTAGCGGGGCCAGCTGTCCTCAGTGGCCAGGGCTCCAGGTGTATGCACCACTGTCCCAGATCCCAGGACCTCGGTTCCTGGCAAATGAGGTCTCGGCAGCTGGGACCAGCGGGAGGCCACTCCTGTCAACACCAGGCTCGTGGGGGTCAGGGCCCGAGTCCGCAAGGTGGGTGCCAGGTCTCGGTGTGCAGCTGGGGCTGGGCCCCCAGACCTCAGTACCCTGGCTGTCTGCCATCTGTCTCCGACACAGATGACACCCTGGGCACACCCTGGCACACACCTCTGCACACCCTGGGCACCCTCGGGCACACGCCTGCACTGGGTCGAGTCTGTGCATGGTTATGGTCGGAAGTTCCTGTGCAGCCCTGCAGTCTCTGAGAGGTGAAAGGGGGGACCCCACCCCATGAGGGGTGCATGGCTCTCATGGAGGGCAGCTTTAACACTGAGTGTGGGCCCTTGTGTGGTCCCCATAGTGGGCTTCTCAGTCCCCAGTGCCAAAAGCCAAGGAGATCCCTGACTGTTACAAATTACGGGGCCTCTCAGATCTGCCAGCACAGCTGAGTGGATGGAGGTAGTGCTGGTCATGCAGCCATTGGCGTGGCCCAGAGGATGCCCACCTGCTGTGGCCCGGGCCCCAGGGCTGCAGAGCCAGGTCCCCAGGGCCCTGCAGGCACTGACATCCCAGCTGGCCTGGGATGGCTGGAGCAGATGTGGCCTCACACAGGCGAGCCCTGCAGGGAAACTGCCTGGAGCACTCCGGGGAACCGCAGGCTCACTTCCTTCCTGGAGCCCATGTGGGTGCCTCAAACTCTGAGGGCCGCAGGCTGCTCTCTGCCTGCCCAGCCCCTTGGCCAAGGTACGGCCGAAGGGGGTCCAAGAGGTCTCCAAGTGGCCAGCGGCTGCTGCATGCTTACCTGGGCTTGTGCAGCTCAGAGATCTGCCAGGGCAGAGAGGATAGCGGCCGGGGCCCAGCTGGCACCCAAACCTGTGAGATCCTGCGTTCCCCAGGTGCAGAGGGAAGGCAAGGTCACTGTATGACCCAGAGGGTTCAGGGCCAGGGCCCAGGAACACCCAGCACAGGCTGGCAGGGTGGGTGGGCAGTGACATGGCCAGCAGGCCATAAGCAAAGCTGAAGGGATGACACGGTCATCACCGCAGGCCATGGAGGTCACTGCCCACCCGATGGGCACAGGAAGGGGTGAGTAGGCAGGACACAGGGACTGACCACAGCCATTAGCCATCAAGAGCTGGGCGACTCTGGGCGAAAAGGCAGCACGCCTGGTGCCACTTGTGAGTGACCAGAAGGACAGGACAGCTTCCTCCCTGAGTCACCAGGCCCTCGGGTCACAGAGCCCATTAGCTCCCAGACAGAGGCCCAGGATCGATGCTGTCCAGCGCACAGCAGGCAGGGGCATCTGTCTGCACAGCCGCCTCCGGCCGCCTTGTGTGGAGGGAAATGGCCCTGCGGGGGTCAGGACACCTGCGCCAGCTGGCTGGTAATTAGTTCCATCTCCACAGCACCCTGCTCCTCAAGGGGGAGAAGACAGACGCCGGAAACATCACCCCGAGAGCATGTGCAACACTGGGGTGGCCCTGGGGACCCAGTGCAGCCCGACCCCATCAGTGTCTGCAGGCAGCAGTTGAGTCCCCTGGGAGAGCCAGGCGGGTGCCTTCGTTGCCCTGCACAAGTGCTGCCTGCCTGTGGGGCGTGGGGTGGGGGGAGCCTGACACTATCACTGGGGAATGAGCCTCCTCTTCCCGAACCCTGGGGAGACTGGAGAGGGGAGGGGCCTCACGGTAGCTCAGGGCTTGGCTCTGCGAGCCCGCTGAGGTGACCAGCACCCAGGAGTGACTCTAGGTGTGCCAACATGCATGTGAATTTGCACTTGGAGCCCTCGTGGCACTGCCTGGAAGGCGTGACTCTCGCTACATCTATCTTACAGTAAGATTTGCTGGACTTCCACACTTCCCTCAAAGACCGACGATGCAGGGAGTAAGGGCTGGGCTCCCGGGTACAAGATGGAGGGTCCAGGCCTGCCCACAGGCCGAGCCCTCACAGCCACCATTACCTGGCCATCGTGTGCAGCCTGGCCCCTCCGCCTGGGATGCTGGGAGGCCACCCTGGGAGCCTGGACGCTGTCCTCATCAGAGGTGTCCACGTCGGCCAGGTACTGCGCAGGGAGCGGTGCCCTCCTGCTGGCATTTGTGCCTGTGGACATGGAAGGCCTGAGTCACCTGGAAAGCCAGGTGCTCACAGGTATGCTTTATGCAGTGAAGACCACAGGAGAGGGACAGAAGTGGAGTCACAGTTAAGCTCCTTTCAATTACTTCAGTGCTTTGAGCTGAGCGGGCGAAGCCACAGCGAGAATGGGTTGGAACCACGTCCCCGTGGGATCTTCAGGGCAAAAGCAGAGCCGCCAGGCTCTGCGTGTTTGCAAAACCAAGGTAATGGAGTCCCAAATTCTGGACTGCAAGTAACACCCAATTCCACGAGTGCCATGGGCAGAGGGCTGGGACCTTTCCACCAGAGCAGGGGCTTAGGGAAGTCTGCCCACCTGTCCACGTCGGCTCGGTCACTGCTGGTGCTTTTTCCCTGGGCCAGTGATTTGTACACCTCCTGGCAGGAGCACCCTGAATGTGCTTGGGATGCATATTTCCCGGGCCCTTTTGGGGAGCCCCCCCACCCTCAATTGTCACCAGCACAGAGCCACCTGGGCAGACAGCCACTATCTGGCAGAATTCAATGCAGCCGATTTAGCAGCTCATTTTCCTAGGCTCCCAACGGGACAGCTCCATCGATCCCCAGAGCAGCTCCCGATGCAGTGCAGCTGCTGTCAGCAGCCAGCAAGGTCTCTCGAGTGACCTGGCCATGCTGGGGACATCTGCACAGCCCTGCCCTGCACCATGGCTGGGTGTTTCCCAGCTCTGTGCCGGTATTTCTGGGAGTCCATGGGAGCTGCCAGGATACACACGTAGGATAGTTGTGCTAAAGGGAGAGCTCTGCTGACCTGGCCCTAGGCCTGTTCTGTGGCCTCCCCACTGGCTTGTCTGGCAGACCTGGCCAGAGCACCCACCAGCCATGGCAGTGGGCCCCAGGGCTGCAGTGTTGGGGTCTGCAGGCAGGCAGGGCTCTGGTCCCAAGAAAGAGAGGCTGGCTGGCTGCTTCAGTGGCCCGCAGTGGCACCTGGGGGCCCTGGTGTCCTCCTCCTGCAGGATCTCAGGCCCCTGGAAGGCGGCATCAGCTGAGCAGAGGTCACCTGGGAGGGACTGAGCACAGGACGGTCAGCGGGCAGTGTGGGGCTGGTCTCTCCCGTGTTACCTGCCCTGTGTTCACATTGCCCACCCTGGACATCAGCCAAGCCGTGGGCACGGATGGGGTGGGGCTTCTCTTGGCTACAATCCAGACCCCTTTGGAGAGGGGTCTCTGTGCTGTGCCACTGTCCCCAAGGAAAGGAGGCGTGAGGGCTTCCCAAAGTAACAGGCCACAGGGCCAGGGATGTAGCTCAGCAGCGGAGCGCCTGCCAGGTGAGCGAGAGGTCCTGAGTTCAATTTGATTCCCAGTACCAAAAAAAAAAAAAAAAAAAAAAGTGACAGGCCACCCACCTGCAGGCTGTTTGTGGCCCCCGACACCGAGGACAGGCACAGGGCGCGACTGCAGGGCTCTGTGGAGCTGTCCGAGTCTCCCTGGAAGTCCACGGTGCGGAAGGAGAGGAGGCGTCTCTTTGCAGGGGACAGAGGAGGGAGAGTGGTAGGGTCAGCGGCCCCGGCGGGTGCCTGCACCCCCGGGTTGGACCTGCGGTGGCGAGGGGCTCGGGCTGCTCCCGCCCTCCTCCACCAGAGTGTGCTCCTGGCTGGGGTTCTGGGGCAGGGGCAGAGGGGCTGCGTTTGGAATTAATGGGGCTGGCAGGCTCCGGGACAGAGAGCCAGGTTCCTGGGTGAATCGTGAACTCCTAAATCCTCCTCACCACAGCTGCTACATTTTAGTCCTCTAACCTCATCCCTGACAGGGACTCCAGGCCCGGGATGGCCTTCTGGGAGCCTCGCAAAAGGCCTGGATCGAGTTTCTCATGAAAGAGAAGACGCTGTCCCTGACCAGAAGCTGTGCAGACCTGGTTCTTACAGGTCTGTGACCCTCAGGAGGCCTGAGTCCAACACTGTCTGGCTCTCTGTCACCCAGGGCGAGAAAACAGAAACTGACACCGGCAGAGATGAGGTTTGAGGTGAGTGAGCGACACAGCCAGGAGCATTCCCAAGGATCCCTCAGCCCTTGGCTCTGCCCCATGGTGGATCCAGCACCCTGTGGGCCCTGGTCTGCCCTGGGCATCCACACCTATGCACCGCATGCCTGGGACTCCAGCCAGACGGGTCAGGCTGTCCAGCAGGCTCTGCACAGCCCCAGCCCCAGGCTGACTGGGGCTCCTGGGTGACCATGGGGCTCCTGCTTGGGCTCAGGGCTCTGCCTGACATGGGACTGGCCAGCATGGGAGGGACTGGGAAGCCACTGCGAGCACCGAGACTTTCAGGAGAAGGAGCTGGGCTTCCTGTAGAGGCAGGGGAGACACAGAGGTGCTGGGGTCGGGTGAAGCACCGGGGGAGGGGGAGGCATGGGGCAGCAGGGCTGGGCTTACTCTGCTGCCAAGGGGCAGGGCCTGGGCCCCTGTGTCCAGCTCTCTGTCCTCATCTGTCTGCTCGCTCTCTCCGCTCCTCTCACCAGAGCTCAGCTCAGGGGCACCTGCAACAGGACGGTGGCTGCGTGGCTCCAAGGAGATGGGGGGCATGGCTCTGTCCTCTGCCTTGTACCCCCCTGCTGCCCATCCCTCTTCCAGCCTCTTCCCTCTCTTTACCTCTCTCCTATCTACCCATCCACCTAGCCTATCACCTATCCATCCTCCGTCTCCCTCCCTTCCTCCTCCTGTCCACGCACTCATGCACTGATCCATTCATCCGTCTGTCTGTCCCCCCCACCCGCAATCAGAGGCCATGATAGGGACAGAGGACAGACTAACTCCTGGGCCCCTACCCTGTCACTAATTAAAATCATGGTTTGTGTTTTCTGCTGAGGCTGCCAGGATTTAAGGGTGGTTTAGTGACACTTCACTTGAGCCCACAGAAGCCAATAGTCAGCTACAAGCAGGACAAAGCTTGACCCTCACTCGTATCTGCCTCTGTTAAACAATGGAAGCTCTGGGTCAGACCCCGCTGGCGCTGCAGGCTGGGGTGCTAGTCATTCAGTTGTCCAATGTTGTCAGATCTGGATTTACAGAACTGTCTCACCTCTCTTCAAGGGTAAGGACACCAAGCTAAGATGTGCAGGAATGTTCAACTACCGGTGAGTGCCCAGAAGATCCTAGTCACTGCCCCAAATCTAGGCTCTAGCAGATCCCCCACCCCCACCCCACCAGACCGAGACGGCTCCAGGCAGAAACGATCAGGTCCCAGAGATCGAACTGCCCGTCAGGTGACAAGGACTTCCCCCAGAGCCACCCTGCAGACCAGAACTGAGGTCACGGCCAATACCATGACCTTAGCCCACACCAGTCAGTGAATGCGCCGGTCTGACCCACCCATCAGAGCTGTGCCCCTTCAGCTCTTCAGGTGAAGCTCTCACTTTCCAACTCCGCCTAACGAATCTGCCCAGGCAGCTCACCAATCCACCCTGAGCTTTGCTGTGATGAGAGTCAACAAACCTACTCCACAGACTGAGTTGAGGTTCCCATCTCCTTTTCCGGGGGTCCTCTTCGGACTCCATCTGATGATACACTTATCCATCCATCCTTCCATTCCATCCATCCATCATCCTATCTCACCCATCCATCATCCATCCCACTTGCCCATCCATCCGTCCATCCTCCCATCCCACCTCCCCATCAATCCGCACATCTGCTGAGAAGGGTCCAGGCAAGGCCCTCTGCTGGCCTTTCAGAGGCCTGCACACACCTCAGTTGGAGCTGGCCAGCATTAGAGCCCAAGACCAGGACCGCATCAACTCTACTGACAGCTCTGGCCATGTCTGCAGGCATCAGCCACATTTACTGATCACTTCGTGGTTTGTCTGAAGAAGCTGGGATGTGAGGAACGGGGCCGGGAGCCACATCGGGTTTTCTCAACAGACTCCTCCCTCACAGTCTGTGTCACCTGCCTCAGCATGGCCAGGAGGGGAGTGAGGCTCAGCCTTCCTCTGCTCAGGGGAATCCTGAGGCCCCTCGCACCCAGGGCACCCAGGTTGGCTCCGTCCCCCTCTCTCCTGTCCACATGGCCCTGGCCGTGCCCTATTTCGGTCCCCGCAGAAGTTGAGCCCAGTGTGTCCTGGGACCTGAGAATTGACTGGCTGGTGCTCATGCCTGCTGGTCTCTGAGGTGCGGAGGGAGCAGCTGGACACACAGCGTGCAGGGCCTTGGGCCCCTGCCAGGTCTTGCTGCCCAGACGCCCACGTCCTGTTGCCTGACCCTTGGTCTCAGTGCCTTGGGGTCCTGGGTGAGGACAGCTGTAGTTTGGTGCCTTGCAGGGCTCAGCTGCAGAGGGGGACAGGGTGGCATGTGGAGTCCAACTTGTGTGGCTGATGCAGACGCCCTGCACTATGCAGGTGGGACCGGTCCTACACCCACACCCCACCTGGCCACTGCTGCCACAGGCTCTGCAGGAGCAGGTTCCAGTAGGGAAGGGGAGGAGGAATTGCCCCTTCCAGGCACCCGGACTTCCTGTCCAGCATGGCCTCTGGATCATGCCCCTGGGTGGCTTCCTCCAGACTCCTGTTCCTCTCACTTTCTGCCGGTGGCCCCAGTCCCAGGGTGGGCACGGGTACTTCCTTCAGTTCCCATTTCTGCTGCTTGGAATCCCCATGACAGCCGATTCCTGATGGGAGATGGATCGAGTGCAGCCCCACCTCCCACACTGCCCACCTGCCCTCCCAGCCCTGGTGCTTCTGCAGGAAGCTCCTCCAGGTGGCTTTCAGTCCCATGGGCACAGGCGTCCACACCAATGTCCCTGTGGGGACAGCAGGGCTGTCTCCCCTGCAGCCTCCTCCCCAGGTGTTCAAGGACAGCACTGGGCCATCGATGAGCCGTGGGCCCCATGGTCCACCCCTGGTGCTGTACAATCTGATCTTCCTCACACCAGAAAAAGCCTGAGCCTAGCCCTAGGTGAACTCAGGAGGGAAACAGCCTCCTGGTCAGGTTTTGTATTCACTTCAGAGAGAGAGAAATGCGACCCGGGAACAGCTGCAGGTCTGCGAGAAGCCTCACCGTTGCTCCGCTCCAACCTGCCTGGCACTGGCTCTGCCCGTTGGTGCTGCCACCTGCCCCACCTCTGTGGCCCCGAGAGGCCGTGGCTCCCTGGGGCTGGTGTGGGAGGACAGATGGGGTGCCTGATGACAGAGCCAGGGTGCAGACCGACAGAGGCTCACCCAGCCCACCATGGGGAGACCCCGAGATGGGCTCTGCCGCAGGAGGGAGGGAGGCTTCTGAGCTCTCCCCAGCCTGGGACAGAGTTCTAGCCATGCTCACCATCCATCTGCCTGACCAAGTCATGCTACGAAAATCTGAAGGATTTTTTGCATTCCTGACTCCACACAGGGTTTCAGGGCCTCACTTCAGATGGAGCAGAAACCAGAGGGAGTCACTTGAGCAAGTGACCCTGGGGCCCTGCTGCTCCAGGCCTGGCCTAGCAGACCCCAAGACAAGGCATTCTCTGGGGGCTCAGCTGAGCCGGGGTCAGCCCACGTCCCCAGCACAGCCTGTGACCTGGAGTAAAGCCAGGAAGCACAGCCCACTCTAAGATCGGAAGAAGAGGGCAGCTGCCTCCCAGGTGCAGGGTACAGTCAGGTTTCAAAGCGTGGACTCTTACTTTTTTTTTGGTACCAGGGATCGAACTCACGACCTTATGCTTGCAAGGCAGGTAGTGGTACCTTTGAGCTAAATCCCCAACCACGTGGACTCTAATCTTAAAAAAAAATTAATACTTTTTCTTTCTTTTTTTCTTTTGTACAAAGGATTGAACTTGGAACCTTGGAGTTGTGAGGCAGGTGGCAGAACCACTGAGCTAAATCCCTGGCTCTACATTTTTCTTGAACTGGTCACTGAACCCAGGGCCTTTGTGCTGAGCTCCACTCCCAACCTTTAAAACTTTTTTTATGTTAACTCACCAGGTTGCCTATGCTGGGCTTGAATTCAAAATCCCCCTGTCTCAGCCTCGCTGAATGCTCTGATTACAGGTGTGCACCACCCAACACTAAACACTGAATACTTTTTTTTTAAAGGTGTAATTATCCCATTTTTCCCTCTTCTGTCCTTGCACCCTGTCTTCCTGGGCTGATCTGTCCAGGGCCAGCCAGGGAGAATGCAGCCCAGGGCCTCACTGCCCAGGTGGGGCCCCGGGGTGTGCGTGCTGTTCTCAGACCCACTTCCAAGGCACAAGGGGCTGTAGGGAACAGGGGTGGAGGACAGCGGGCCTCGTTTTGTTTTCTGTTGCCCAGCAGCGCCACCTACTGGCCCTCAGTGGTGACATATCTGAAACCAACAGGTTCACTGTGACCTTGTCAAGTCCAGCTTCCTGAGCCCAGGCTGGCCCTGGCAGTCAGCCTCCCCAAGGGTGAGGCCTGGTCCTCGGTGTCTAATGGGGCTGGTGGGGTCTCTGTGGGGCTGTATTCCTTGGTGCGGGCCCGGCTCAGTGGGGTGGAGGGGCCCCAGCCTGAGACCCAGAGCAGTAGCACCGACGGGGGACAGCCTTTCCCACGTCATCTCTGTCCCTAATTCAGCTCCACCCACGGAGCGGTGCCAGCCCATGCCCTTCCATGCCAGGTGCTAAGAGTGGTCACAGGCTGGTGCCTCTGTCCATGGCTCTGATGCCTGAGGGCCAGCAGTACCCAGCTCTTGCTCCTCCCTGCCCACTGGGCTTTGGGTTCTAGTAAGGGGCCAGTCCAGAGGCAAGCCTTGAAAAAAGCTTGGGGCACTGTGAGGACGCCTCAGCTGGAAGCTGGCATCTGCACTGCTGTGTGGGGCATCCGCTGCATGGAACCCACTGGGCATGCTGGGGACTGTGTGGACCTGCAGATGAGACCCAGGAAGCTGGGACCCACACGCCAGGCCTGGTGAGCTGCCCGGCTGGATGAGTGCTAGGCAGGCAGAGGCCTAGGATCCAGGGGACAGGGAAAACCAGATCCCCCAACTGCTCAATTTCACTTCAAGGTCAAAGCCTGAATCCCTAACCCTCCCTTGTGATTTCCTCTTTCCAAATATGTTAAGGGGATGGTGGGAAGAATATGTCGTGTAGTTTAAGGGCATCATGAAATAAAGATTTGGATTCAAAAGACTAGAGTGAGTGGCTGAATTAGATAGGTTTCTCTCAGGCCTGCTGTTCACCAGAAGTGTGTGGGATGTGCGGGCCCCAAGCTGGATGGCCAGGCAAAGTGCACCATCAACACACAGGCAGGAGCTCCAGGTTGGGGAACTGAACCTAGCTGTGTATTCTCCACTTGCTATAAAGCTCCAGAAAAAAATACAGTTTTAAACAGTGGGGATGTTCACAGCACGTGGGGCTTCCCAGGAGATGGAAGTAGCGGAGGGATGTGAAGGTTTGCCCATCTCTTGGAAGGCAATTTGGTCAATGTGTCTGTCTGTCTCTCTCTTCCCAAAGCAACCTGTTTCTCAGGAAGCATCATCTCAGGCCTGGGCACTAGCACATCCCGGGTCCCCTCCTTACCTCCGCCCTGCAGCCGTCCACATAGGGACTGCACCACCTTGGCGCTCCCGAAGCGTGTGAAACGGGCTCGCACGTGCTGGTAGAACCACTCCAGCGAGCCGATCTTCACCACCCTGCGGGGACACCAGCCCAGGCCATGCACTGCTGTGTGCCGCACAGGTGTGTGCAAACGCCACGCACCCCAGGGTCCCACTTCTGCAGCGAGCCCCTTCAGAGGGACACGCTGGGCCCGGGACCCTCAGGCTTGACTTTGGGCCTTGCTCACCTGGCCAGGTGGCAGGGGTCGCACAGCCAGCCCTGTGCCTCCGGGTGGGAGTGGCTGCAGTGTTTGCAGGTGAAGAGGCCGCAGTCCAGGCACTGCCTCTTGCTGTTCACCAGGAGCCGGTAGGGCTGCAGGCAGCGGGCACAGTGGGTCTCGTTCAGGTGGGCTGTGTCGGAGAGCAGCTCCCTCTTGGAGCTCTCCTTCTTAATTTTGCCCTTCAGTTGCCTGTGGAAATACGGGAACAAGAAATAGCCTAGATGTCTTATTTTTGCATGCATGCACGCGCGCACACACACACACACACACACACACACACACGAATTCTCATGTGCAGAAGACAGCGAGCCCATCCCAAACCAGTGAGACTGCTTTGGATGTTGGGTGCTGTGCCCTCGCTCACAGGGCTGAAGTCCTGAGGAAAAGCCAGGTGCTGTTCGGGGCCTCTCCCAGCATGGGAAGGCCTCAGGCTTCTCCTGGGGAGCGACTGAAGTGGCCTGGCATGGTGAGGATCCAGGGCAGGAGTAACCCAGCACCCGGAAGTTCTTCAAGCCACAGCTGGAGACCACCGGGCTTCAAACACAGCTTCCTGGTGGCTTCGCCAAGGGCAACGCAGCCCGGATAGAGATGAATGCGCCTTTCTGTCCTGAGTGTCAGAGAATGACTGCCAAGCACAATATTTTTAGTTTGAGATGAGATAAAATTAATCCATTTATTGTGACAGCGAAGGGTGAGATGTGCCATTGTCTTCTGAGAGTGCTGAGGCTCTCAGTGTTAGGGGAACACGTCAGTGGGTGGCCAGGGAACAGGGGTCAGGAGGCCACCTCTGGTTCACAGTGGCATGATGCATGTCACCGATTCCTTCCTTGTTACTCATTCCATCGTCCACTCGTGGGGACAAGAGCGCCAGGCACAGGACAAGAACGTATTTTGAATGAGATAAAGGGGGATACAGAGACTCCATTCACAGAAGTTTTAATACACTGTATTTTTATAATTATCTTATTTTATTATTAGTTATGTTATTCACCTCTCATTATGCCTACTTTATAAATTAAATGTTATCATTGGTGTGTGGATGTGAGAAAAAGCAGCATGTATACAGGTTCAGCATGGTCCACAGTGTCCAGCACCCGTGGGGTCTTGGAACATCTTCTCAGGATGAGGGAGGGCTACTGTACTCACAAAGACTTAGAATAAGACTCCTGTGACAGCTGTGAAACTGAGAAAAGATGAGCAAATGGTTTCAGGAATCTAGAAGGAATATCGTCACCCCTGGTTGGAGTAGATAAAGCTGTGTCAGCCAGCAGCCTTTGCCTCAGAGAACCACGAAGCCCCATGGAAGGGCATTCCTACTCTCACCAAATCTGTATCCACCGGGGAACCTGGAGGCCACCCTACTCCTGTTGGGCTTGTCCAGCTTTTTCCCCATCAGCTCCCCAGAAAGAGTGAGAGTGGGGTGGATTGGGTGTAGAACCAGACAGGAAGGAAGAAGAGGACATTTGAGGTGCACAGCACCCAGGCTATTAATTTCTTCTTAATAAGAGGAGGCTCTGGAGGGTCCCTGAAGAGCTGGCTGGCCACTGATGTCTTTGGGTGCTGAATCTATACTTTGCTTCAGGTTCTTTAGAGCATAACTTCCTGGCTGAGCATGGTGGTGCACACTGTAATCCCAGAACTCTGGAGGCTGAGGCAGGAATATCGCCACGAATATGAGGCCAGTGAGGGCTAAACAGTGAGTTCAAGGCCAGTCTGAACTACATAGTGAGATCCTATCTTAAAAAAAAAAATGAAACAAAACAAAACAAAACAAAACATAAATTCCTTCTTCATAGCTGGAGAGCAGGAAGGGATGCAGAGAAGACCCGTATGAGAGACCAGGGGACTCTTTTTGGCTGCTGGGCACATAGCCAAAGCTGGGGCTGCAGAGGGTGGGGACAGAGCCCGTCACACACTGCTTTCATACCAAACACCAGGTCAACCAGATGTCCTAACTATCCAAGCATCGGCAGGAAAAAGGCCAGCATAAGGCCCCAAGTCAGGGCCACCTTCAGGAAGAGGTTTCCAGAATGGGATTCATCATCAGAATCAGGACACCTGAAGCAAGCTGCTTACTGTGCTCAGTGGGGTGCAAGAAGGCAGAGTCTCAAGGAGGGAGGGGAAGGAGAGGAGGAAGATGCCAGGCTGAGGTGGAAAGACCACCGGCTGTGCAGATAGAGAGTAAAGCGCTGGTTGAATAAAGATGGCTAGGAGCTCTGGGTGACAGTGGAGGGGAGAACAGAATTCCTACCATGGAATATCAAATCCAGTGATCTAGAATAGTGGTTCTCAGCAGGCCAAAGCACCCACCTATAATCCTAACACTTAGGAGGCTGAGGCAGGAAGATCACTCTGAGTTCAAGGCCAGGCTGAACTAAATAGTGAGACCCTGTCTCAAAAGAAAAAAAAAATGATTCTCAGCATGTGGTCTGGGGGCCTCTGGAGGGTCCTGAGATCCTTTAGGAAAATTTATAAGCCCAAAGCTATTTGAATAGTATTAAGACATCATTTACTTTTCTTTTTTTTCTCTTTGATGCCTGCACCAAAGATGCAAAAGCAATGGAGGTCAAAGCCACTAAGGTTTTATCACAAATCAAAGCAGTGGTACCAAACGGACTAGCAGTCATTGTATTTTGCACCAAAAAAAAAAAAAAAAAGAAAAAAAAAAGAAAAAGAAAAAGAAAAAAGAAAAACAGAGTTTCATTTAAGTCCAACCTTGATGAAGCAGTAAAACTTCTTACTCTTTTTGAATCTTGACCCCTGAGTGCATGCCTTTTTAGTATTCTGCAGGAAGAGGACACACAGTCTCTCTACTGAATACTGGAATACAAATGTGGATGTTTTGATGTGAGAACTGGGCAGTTGTCTGAATGTTGACCTGAACTGGGAACTTTTATTATAAATACCATTTTCACTTGGATGAAGAACTGAGAGGTAAACTATTCTGACTGGGCTGTTTGGCAGTTTCTTATTTTCTCCAAAATGAGCAAAGTGAGCCTGCCACTTCAAGGAAAAGGACCACAGTATTTATCGCCACTGACAAAATTAAAAGTTTCAAACACAAAGTAGAATGTTGGAAAAGGAAACTCGCTTGAGTTTTCTCTGAGCTTGACAGTTTCCAGCCTGGAGAGAGTTCTGTGGTTTCCCTTTGTCATGCATAATAAGACATATTCATTTTGGGACCTGCATTACTCAGTGAAGCAGTGTGTGTGCTAAATGACAGTGTACAGCGTCACAAAAATCACACATGGGTAGGAGATTCTCTCCAAGTGCAAGACAGAGAGAGTAGTGACTTAAGGTAACGGAGCAGGTAAAGGTCAGTGATCTCTCAGAGTCCACTCACAACCAACCTCGAGGAAATGACCAAGGGCTGGGTCTTCAAGTAGTAATGGAACACGGTGTCCTTAATCATCTGACAGAAGGCTGCAGGCTGCCCCTCCATTTCCCAGCTACAGATGTGTGTTAGGCTAGACCCCCAATACTTCTGCCCGTATAGCACACTGCATGCAGGGCAAGGTGGAACTCTGCTGACTTGTGCTACACCAGATGTTGAAGGGAGTCTTGAAAACATAGACCAATGCCACTCTTCTCAGTCACAATTTTTGCTTCCGAAAAAGTCATTTTTTCATAAAAAGGATGCTTTTGTAAAAGTAAGTGGCTTATTGCTATTATTCGTAAATGAATGAATAGACAAGACTCCTAATTTTAAGTCCTAAGGTAGTGCATATTGATAGCTGTAACGAACATAAATAACAACTCTGGGGGTTCTTGGTAATTTAATAATGTACAGGGAAACAGAGGCTTAATGGCTTGAGAATTGCTGGTTTTGAATTCAGTTTGCTTTTCCCTTCAGGGTGCAGAGAAAGGAATGCAGCGGCGGCAACAGAGAGGCAAATGAATCCTCAGGGGTGAGTGGGTCCCAGACAGTGGGGACAACAGGGGCATGGAGCAAGTGCTCTTGGGTTAGCCTGGGAACCACGTCAGGAGCTGTGATGGGGGGACACGGGGCGGGATGATGGAGTTCCCTGAATGCAGTGTCTCTGAGGAAAAGAGGGAGATGACAGGCGACAGCACGGGGCCCCCTGGCCATGGCGGGTGCGGAGGTGCCGAGAGCAGAGGCAGGGTGAAGTGGCCTCACCTACAGTCCAGCTCTGCCCTTCCTGGGGTGGAGCTCTGATGAGAGCAGGTGGCGTGTGTGAAAGTAAGGGGAGAGGCCCCTCCTCCAGGTACAGCAGCTGCGTGGCACGCGCTGCACTTGTGCTGGTGTCAGGGCCCTGGGGGTTGACGTCCCTGTGGTGCTTAGGCCACGCTCAGCAGGATGGGGAGCGGGGCGGCCAGTGGCAGTGCATGGCGTCCAGACCCCATGGACTCCATCACAGCAAGGGCCACAAGATCCTCACGCAGGGCCCAACCTCGAGTGAGGCCCAAACTCTGGGGGACATGAGGAGGGAGCTGAGGCCAGGTGGAGCAGGGGAGGGTGGGAGGTCAGAGGGCCCCAAACCTGTTTTCCTGCCCAGGGTGTGGGGATCTGGAGTCAGACAGGAAGCAGGAGAACTGCACATCTGGCACAGCTTGGCGGGGTGTGAGTTTCTGGCCACACAAGCAGGGACCGTACTAGGGACGCCTGAAGGTGTTCCCAGCTGGAGAATGCTGCAGCAGAGGAGCAGCAGAGCTGCTGGCCTAAGTGTGAGGGGCAGCCACCTCCATCACAGGAGGCCAGCCGGAAGTGAGGGGCAGTGGATTCGCACCCTGTGCCGCCAGACCAGAGCTCACACATTCCCGGTGCAAAACAACAACAATGGACCCCTGAAATTCAGGGGGGCTATGTTCCTAGAGCATCTGGGACTTGTCAAATTTCAGATACAGTCACAAAAATAGCCTATAAATGCCTATTTTTATAGTTTAAACTCTACCTTCACTATGCCTCTCACAGTTATGTAATTTACTTTAATAAAATACTGTATTAATAAAGGCTTAGAAGGTGCAGGGTGTTTTAGCAGCACCCTAGGGATCTTGGAGCTTTAAGAACAAAACCAGAACCCTGGAGACAGCCACAGGCGGCTAGAGCAGCCTGTTACATGGGTTGCAGGGCAGCAGCCAATCAGCAGTGAGGAGAACTGAACAATGCACTCAGATTGGCTCCTTGCAAACCTTCCACCAAAAAAATAATTTGCAGAGGATATTTGTGGTTTCCCCTTAATTTCAGGGGTTTCCGCAATTATTAGTTAGGTTCTATGGAAAAATTTGCGAATGACTGAGGCCATGAATTCTGAACCACGACATCATGGAGGTGCGCTGTATCTTACAGTTCTGGGGCCCAGACTGCAGGTCTGGACGTCCCGGGTCTGACACAGGGACTTCTGAGCTGAAATCAACTTGTGGCGGGGCTCAGTCTGACCTCTTTCTTCCTTGCTTCCTTCTTCCTCCTATTTATAAGGCTCCCACCATGTGCTGGGCCCACGCAGAAGATTCAGGGCAATTCCCCACAGCCAGCTCAGCTAACCAGCAGCCTTGATTCTACCTGCCACCTTTGTTCTCCTTTGCTGGGCTTAAAACGTTGCCAGACTCTTGGTATAGGGGCATGGTCATGTATCTCTTGGGGGTGGTGGCACGACATTGTACTGTCTGCCCTGGGAGGGCAACATCCCCGGGGTTCTGCAGGGAGTGTGGGAGCTGGGGTTTTACCCACAGCCAAGGGGAACATTCTCAGATACCAAACGCACACCCCAAGACACTTCTGAGAAGACAGCTTGAGGATGTGCTCCCAATGACTGAAAAGAGAGTCCAAGGAGGACCTGGATGACGGACATCCTGGCAACCAGGAAACCAAGGTTTCGCAGGGGACAGCAGGGAAGGAGGAGGAAGGGATTAACAGTGACAAGGGGTCAGTCACAGACCCCAGTCCTCGTGACATGGATCCATCTCGGGAGGGACCATGAGGGAGAGAAGTGTGCTGTCTCTGGAGGTCCTCCTGGTGGAACGGCCGTGATGGTGATGGAGATGACGTGGAGGAAGAAAGCAGTGATGCCTGGGTGACAGGTCACAGAGCCCGAGAGCTCCAGAGACTTCGTCAGTGGTCTTAGACCAAAGCCAGAGTTCAGGCCCTGAGCAGGCTGCCGATTTCCTGTTTTCACCTTGCTTTTCCAGCCTAGAGTTGCCCATCTGTCGGGCCAAGTGGCCCAGCTGAGGGGCCTTCCAGTTTCTTCTTCTTGCCATTTTCCCCTGAGCCACAGTCGCCCACGTCTCTCACTGAGAGATCTTGCACCGATTGTCTCAGGAATTCCTGGCTGTTTGCAGAGATTGAAACTCCTCCTTAGCACCTATTTGCCTTTCTGGGAAGGTTAACAGCCTAATATTTGACTTACGGGCTGTGCCCTTCAGAGCAGGGTGTTCCACGGAGCCTGAGGTGTGACTCACCACGTCCGTCCGCGATGCCCGTCTGCTCCTTCCTCCTGGCCTTAGGGCCGTCCGATCACTTCTGCTGCAGCCACAGCCCAGTGCTGCCCCACCGTGCAGGAAGCAGCTGCTGACAGGACTTTAGATAAGCACCAGAGCTAGTAAACCATACACTGAGCAGGACCCACCCAAGTGACTGGGCAGGCTCCTGTGTCCAGCTGAGGCTCCAGGGCTCGCAGGCTGGGGCTGCTCCCGTGTGTGCCCTCCAGGGGTCACTTTGGCACCACTGTGCATGCATGACATTAGCAATAACAGCATGTGATGACCTTTTACCGCCCAAGTGACAGGAGTGAGGGACTCCAGGGGCATTCATGGCGCAAGAGCCTGGCAGTGTCCCCAATGGGCGTTTCTTCCAGGTGGCGAATGGCTTGTTTCTCAGCAAACCTGGCTTCGCAGTGTCCCCTGCATGCTCACTTTGTTCTGTCCACAGCCTCGGTGTGTTCTCCAAGCCAGGCCGCCCAGCGGGTGTCCCTTTGGGAATACGTCAGAGCCATTACAAGCCAGGCACTTCCTGAATTGCTGCATTCACCACATGGAGGAACTGAGAGCCTCATTCAGCCGTGGTTGATTCAGGATCAAGAATCAGGACCTGGGAGAGGAGGAGCCCAAGGGGAAACACGGAGATGGGCTGAAAGCAGGGCTGTGGCAGCCACGCATGGTGACATTTATGTTGAAACTGGCTAAACACGCAGTATGAAATGATACAAGATGGGGAAGAGAGAGGGGGTTCATTATTTCAAAAGTCATCCCAGTTCAGACTGGGCGCCTGGCATGTGAGCCAGCCACTGGCCCTGCAGGAACATTTCTAGGCTCCAGGATGCAAAGGTCTTTGTTCTCTGCTGGTTTCTGTCCTGCTCTTTCCAGGTGCCAGCCCTGCTGGAGCAGAACGGGTTGCCACATGTGCTGGCCACCCGCCTGCTGCTGGCCTCATGACCATGTGCCCAGGGCTGCGCTCCAGGGGCCAGGAGGGACTCAGGCTAGGGGAGAGGCAGCTCCACCCTCAGAGACACCCATGATAGGACAGCAAACAAGACACAGAGGAGAAGCAACACAGGCAGTCAGTCCTCCGCTGACCCAACCAACGGGCTCTGCAGTGCCCACCTGTCTCAGGCTGTCTGCACAGGGAGGTCTGCTCGGCAGTGACACCTGCTCCCATGTCCTTGACCTCAGTTCTCTCTCAGCACATTCACAAGGTGCGATGGAAAAATAGAGCCAACGTTTAAATGTAAAAGGTTTATTATAGTAAAAGATGCTTTGCCATTAACCCCTCAAAGAATTCCTTATCCTGTCCTTCTGCCTCTTTCTGCAGCAGTTCTGCAAGTCCTCTCCCGCGAGTGTCTTTAGCTGCCTCGATTGCTAAATTTGGTCCTTTTGACCTTGGGGAGGGCCAGAAGTCACACAGTGCCAGGCCCAGTGCCCGACATGGATGAACACACAGTGCTGCATTCTCATGAGCGGCCTTTCTGTGGGATGGCGCTCGGCAGCAGCAGTCACTGTATTTCTGATCAGGGAAGAGGACTCCCAGAGCTGCTTCAGAAAGTGGTAAGAACGATGGGATGAGCGTGTTTGAAGTGAGAGAGAGGATTCTGAGGGGGATCCGTGGCAAGGTATCTTAATGTAACACATTATAAAGTGTAAATATTCAGCACATATTTTGAGCACCATTGGTCCCAGGACAACACGCTCGGTGTGGATGTGAGCCTCACAGGGCTCTGGGTGACTAAGAAGCCACTCTTGACCACAGGGCTGCCCTCAGCTCTGTCCTGGTGGTTCCTCAGGCCATGACCTTGGGGTCGCCCTTGGCTCCTCCCATCCTTGAGAGCCACATCAATCCATGGGATGACTTTTCTGCTCTTTCTTCCAAGTACCACCGACCACGTCTCCAGAGTCCACTGTCTGCTCTGAGGCCCCAGAGGAAGGCCTGCTTCACCTCCACCTTCCCTCTGACCCTCACCTCCATCCCAGCTCCCAGATCGATCTGCTCCCAACTCCAGGTGTCCTTGGTCAGCCGTGGCAGCCCTTCTGCTTGGCACATTCTCTCTTTTTTTTCGGTACCAGAAATCGAACTCAGGGCCCTGTGCTTGCTTCGCACATTCTTGGAGGCTCAGGCTGGGCTGGTTTCCTCACCTTCCACAACCTCTTCTTTACTGGCTGACCCAACCCACACACCACTCAGAAGCGACAACTGCAGGGCCTGGTGTGTGACAGGCACCCAGGTCAGGGGAGGCAGAAGGAGGCCGAGGGAGCAGGAGACAGTGAGGAGATGTGGCACCCACGTGTGGTCACGCTGCGAGGAGAGGAGCCCCTCAAAGAGAGCAGGAGCCGGCCTGTGCCCAGGAGCAATTGGACTCCAACAGCCGGGCACGTTCCAGGGACACCAAGAGCCCCTTGTGCCACCTCCAGCTCTGTCCACTCCCCACGGGCCAAGGCCCTGGTACCACTCAGTAGGGGAGGGCATCCTGGCCTGGGCAGAGTGAGGCCAGGCCTCAGGGGTGGGTAGGTGCTGTTTGAATGGTGAGGACACCAGGCCTGGAAGCAGAGCCCTTCCCCAGATCACAGCTCCCTGTCCACACCACTTACCCCACGCCTGTCTCTGCCCACCTGGGTGCCCTGGCTCCCGCACATGGACACTCACGCCAGGCGTTCTTCTTCCCGAGTGCGGAGGGCGAAGTCCCGCTGCACCACCTGCCACACGTGCTGGGCCTCCTCATCTGTGAGCTTGGAAAGGTCCAGTTTGCTGTCCATCACTGCCGCTGCCCAGGTCACACCTGCAAGGTCACAGTTGCTCAGGGACACCCGTGCCAGGAGGTCACATGTCCACTATGTCTCAAGGTAAGAGGAGGAGTGGAAAGTCACTGTCCCACATGGTTCCTAGGTGGACACGTGGTTTTCTGGACATGGGTGACCTTGAAGACCTCCTGTGCAGTTCGGTGAACTTCAAGGAGTCTCTGTGGAGGTTCCCACACTCAGATGTTAAAAGGGAATGGCTGCCAATCCGGGCCACACAGGCTCACCTCCTCTCCTTTCCCTGTGAGACACATGACAATGATCTCTCCACTGAGGGCCACAATTCCTTCCCTGTCCCAGGTTGTGCTTTGCCACAGGAGCACCAAGGTGTGTTCCATCCTGACAAAGGCCCTGTCCCTGACACTTTTAGTGAGGATGCCGCCATGACACTCACAAGAGTGCCGCCATGATACCTGCTGCCATGACACCCACCCACAGTGGGTTCCGGGGCCCCCGTGTTTGGAGGACAAGGACCTGAAGGCCAGCTTTAACCCATAATAAGTGGGTTCAGTGAGTCTTCCTAGGGACTAAAACCACTTCCTCTAGAACATGGGACAGAGATCCTGTCAGTGCGCTCTCTGTGGGAGCCTGAACATCAACTGGAAGGCCCAGCCTCCCTTCCAAGTTCTGAGCAGGAGGAAGTGTTCCTTGTAGAAATGTGCTTGCTCCATGCTGGAAATGTACTTTGATTTGGCCACACAAGGGGCCAGTTATGAAAAATGACATTGTCTAGGCAGATAGTAATTGAGGTGAAAATTCCCACAGAGCTCCATGGCTGTCCTCCAAACTATTGTGAAAATATTTTCTGTCTTGCAATAAGTGAAAAAACCTGGGTATGGCGGCACATTCCTGTGATCCCAGTGATGTAGGAGAAAGGGGGTGGCAAAGCCCTCGAGGATGGAAATAGGCAGGGTCTGTCAGTTAAGAGATCCCAGGACAGTGCCAAATAATTCCCAGGACCCCGTGTGTGGAACTTTTCGAGGCTTCCATGAGATGTGGGCAGCACAAAAGAAGACCAGGTGCCGTGGGGAGCCCCCTATAGCGACTTTCCACCATGGCCCATGCTGCTTCCCAGATGCAGGGTGTATTTTATTTTTGCTTTTGTCTTCTTTTGTCTCTTGTTCTGCCCTGCAGAGTTCACTCAGCAGAGTTGTTTTCCCCCATACTATTCACTGCTGACTTCTCAAATCAACTTTTGGCACTTTTTTTTTTTTTTTTTGAGATAGGTTCTATGTAGTCCAGACTGTCCTTGAACTCACTATGTAGCCAAGGCTGGCCTCGAACTTATGGCGAGCCTCCTGCCTCAGCTTCTGAGTGCTGGGATTACAGGTGTGCACCACCACACCTGGCTGACGGTTGAGCTTGGACTTTTGACGAGAAAGCTCTCCTGGGGAACAGACGAATTTCCCTAGAACACACAGCATCTGGTTTCTAAACTGGCATAGAAAGTTCTTGGATGGGTGACTGGATGGGTGACTGGGATGTATTCATTTTTATCAATTTTGAAAAAAAGTATCATAAGGACAGCATTCATGGGGATCCTATTTTCAGAGTGGCAAACAGCGTGACCCTCAGCTGAGCTTCTCCCAGCAAGGAAGCAGTGTCCATGATGTGGTGGTGTGAGAAACTTCAATCCTGGGTGTGAGGGAGAGTTGCGGAAACAGAGGGAAAAGCTCTTTCTCTTTCTAGGGGTGGTCAGAGGCCAGGGAGCAGATGCAGAGAAAGGTCCCAGGACGCTGTCACTACACACTGAGGACACCTATCCCCTCCTCTCCCCAATCCTTGTTTCTTGTAAGGCCTTGGTTTCTCAGCCACATATGCAGACAGCTGAAGTGGGAACCTGAAATGCAGGAGCCAGGGAGCCCGCCAGGCAGGTGGGGGTCTGGACACCCACAGTGTGGGCCAGAGGGGGGTTCCAGTGGGCAAAGTCCCCAGAGCCGTGGCCGGGTGTGCAGGGGACCCACGTGGAAAGAGAGGAAGTCTGGGCACGGCAGTGCACACTTGGGGCTTCCCATCACAGAAGGGAACACGCTCACGAGGCTCTGGGTTTTTGTTTGTTGGTTTGTTTTGCACTGCCAGGGATGGAACTCAGGGCCTCTGGTATGCCTGGCAAATGCCCTTCTGCTGAGCTACGCTCCAGCCCCCGGGCTTGTTTTGGGGAGTCAGGGTCACTGCCTTTCCGACGAGCGGAAAAGCACACACACATGGCGCAAGGCTAAGTCGGAGGCTCACGGGTTGGAAATCACCTGAAAAGCAGGGCCCTGGTGCCAACCTTCATCTCCTGCCCAAGTCCTTCTGGGCAAGAGGTTCAGAGAGCTGGGGTACAGAGAGGGTCCCCCAAATCTCTGCAGCTGCTTTGGAGGCTGTGCGGGAGTGAACAGCGGGTGACCCAGGCCAGCGTGGCTCTTTATCTTCTGGGACTGCCTCTCCCCATGCAGTGAGCAGCAGTGCAGAGGCTCTAAGATTCTCACCAATGATTTCCAGGAAGTAATTGAAAGTCAAGCAGATCTGAGAGGCATAAGCCAAGAGTCCTTGGCATTTGGGGACCTGCTTCCCAGCCCAGGGCACTGGCAGCAGGGGAGGGGCAGCTCCTGGGCCAGGCACAGTAGGGCCGTAGGTAAATCAGCACTCCCGTTGCCTCCACTTCACCATTCCCCAAGGTCGGGGTCTGCACCTGGTGCCCCACTGAGGAGGACAGGAGTGTGATACACCACACTGCTGAGGACAGGGCGCCCCTGGGTGTGTGCTGGGTCAGGGCAGGCACTGCCAGCTACGCTGTTCCGGGTTCCAGTTCTGGGCAGATAGTGCCAAGTCACGGGGTTCCTGAGCCAGAAGGCTCTTTCAGTTTGTGCCGTTAATCTTACTTCAAATCTTAGAGACATACGCCCTCCCCAGGGGTGTAGGGGTCCTAATGGGGGGGGCTTTGGGAGGGCCCTGCAGGAGAGCATGGAGCCAGTGTGATCAGCGGGGCAGCCCTGCCCCAGTCTGCTGGGTTGCGAGGAGGGCTGTCATCCTCCACGCAAGACCAGAATTCCTATTTGGGCCCACGGGGAAGAGAAATCTCAATTTTTTTTCCTCGGCTTAACCATCTGTGGGGCCAGCTTGGGACCAAGGAGCCTGGGAACCTGGGAACATAGCCGTTGCAAGGTGAGGGTCACCCACCCGAGCCAGCGGGAATTGGGGAACAAGGCAGGGTCCTCCTGAGATGCCCATGAGCCGGGGCAGGGCTCCTGCTCACTCAGGTGCTGGGCCTATGGCGTGGCCACGTTCCTGCTGACAGAGGTGTGGCAGAGGTGTCCATGTGGCACCATCTACTTTAACCCTTTGCCTCCTGAGCACTGCTCCCAGAGCTGGCCTGTGTGGTTATTTCTTGGGCAGGGCCTCGCCCGTGTGTGTGGTGGGCACACATGGCCCCTCTGGCTTTCGTCAGCAGCAAAATGAGCACATTTCCACGAGGAAGATATGTTCCCTTTCCCTCAGGTGAACAGGCCCCACCTGGAAGCTCCCGACCGGTGCCCTGCAGCCTGGCTCCCCTGTCCCCATCCTTCCCTCTGTGTCCCCCGCTCTGGAGGTTTCTGGTGACCTCGTACCTGTGGAGATGTGAGTTCTGCACTGCCTCTAGAGCGCAGCCCTGGTCTCTGTGTCAAGCCCAGGCTGGATGCACTGTGGAGCCAGCCTGGCCACCCCGGAGAGGCCCCTGCTCTGCCCGGGCTGCCTCCCCAGCCGACTGGGTGATGGTTTGGTGCCATGGCTCTTTGGACACCCAGCACAATGCTAGGAAGTTAGAATTGTGGAAGCCGTGATGGTGCAGGGAAGGGGTCCCCAGAGAGCTTCCAGAAGTGGCCTTAGAAAAGCAGCCAGCGGTCAGAGTGCAAAGGCCGTCCCAGCCACACAGATGGGGAGGTGTCAGATATTCCCTCCCCTGCCAGCTCTGTGCCTACTTCCAGCCCCGTCCCTAATTATTTTTGAGTCAGTGTGTGTTTGTGTGCGTGTGTGCGTGTGTGTGTGTGAAGCACACAGCCTGCATCTCATGGTGAGGCCCTCGAGCTCCTCATGTGTTTGCCCAGCGTGTCCCAAGTCTTTGGCCGACCTGTGAGGCACCTGCCACCGCCCCCATTTTCAGATGTAGTGCTGTGCTGGGCAAGGTCACCTCTTGTAGGGACTTGAGGTTGTGGGGACACAGCAGTGGTCGCACCCTCCCCTTGTCCCGCTCTGCACAGCAGACACATGATACCAATAGCTTGGGCTCTTAGGGGGCCAGGAGAGGGCAGGGCCCCCTCCTGCCGTGACCCCCACTCCTCTCTGCCCCAAGGAAGCTGAGATGCCAGGGGGACTTGGTCTCCCCAGACAGCCTGGGGCCCTGGGGTCCTGCCTCAGTCTTAGGGCTTCGGATAAAAACCACCCCTTCTGCCTCGATGGGTTCCAGGTCCCTCTGCTCAGCGTCCAGGAGACGCTTGCGGTGTGGGCCTTGGGGAGCTGGGGACCCCAGCACCAGGACCGAGGTCTGGAGGCAGTGCTGGGGCTTCTGACACCCGCGGGCCTGGGAGGCCCAGGTCCTAGTGCCCTTTCAGGGTGCACTCACCGGCCTTGCTGCTGGGGACGCTGGGCGTTTGCCAGGGCGGCCCTCGGAGCTGCTTCCTCCGTCCTGCGAGGGACAGGGCAAGGGGAGGCCGGGCGCACACCGAGCGCCCGGGCAGTGCCTCTCACTGCCCAGCGCGGGCCCCGCCGGTCACGTGGGCGCGCCCCGCCCACCAGGATCCCTGGCGCCGGGTCGGTCAGTCCTGGGGCGCAGTGAGTCGGGGAAGCTCCGCGCTCCTCACCCCAAGCCGGTCAGGCGAAGGGTGGAGGGAGGGAAGGACGGGCGCACCTTGCTGGGCGGGGGATTGGGAGAGGCGGGTGGAGAGGCGTGGCCACCTCGGCCCTTCCTGGCACGGGGATCAGCGCGGGCACCTAGGAGGCACCTTCCCACCTCTGCAGAGCGAACGCTGGTTCCTCCGCCTCACAGACGGAGACGGACTCAGCAGAGCGCCTGCTGGAGGCTTCGAATCCGGAGTGGGACTTTGCGCCCAGGGGTCCCCAGCCACGGGGATCCTGCAGGCAGGACTGGGGCGGGGGAGGCCCTGGGCGATGAAGACAACCCGGGGTCTCACGTCTGTGGCCCTATGCGGTCCAGGACACGGGCTGGGAACCGCCCATCTCCCCGGACTCTGGAGCCAGCCGGTTCCGAGATGGGGTCCGTGTCCAGGCACCAGGTCCGCTGGCCTTCTGAGTGCCCTGGATGCTGAGGGATGGCCTTCCCTCTCGCCCGCCACTTCATGCAGGAGCTGGAACCGCGTTACCAGCTCTTTCTCTAGGTCTGCAAACACGGAAAGTAAGTGTGAACACACAGCAGCTCGGGGTGAGCAGAGCCGTGGGCCCCAGAACTGGTGAAGAGCTTTCTGAAGCCACAGGCTGCTCTCTAGAGCCCCCGTGACCCTGAGCACGGGGCAGGTGAGCTCTGCCAGGGTCTGTGGGGTTTCCTGCCCTGGGCTGGAACAGGGACTCTGACTTCAGCCCAGGATTTGGTCCTTAAGTTTCCCTTTCCTTCCCACATACCTTACTGTTGCTCATGAAGTTAATGGATCCCTTAAAAGCAGGCCCTGGGAATGTAAGTTCTTTATGGGCGGATATTTGTAATACTTTAGTGCTTATTTATTTGAACTGATGGCTTGAGAAATGTATAAAACCGATGCACGGTGATACATGATAAACTATGTGGTAAGGTACATAAGGGGTAAGACCCAAATGTCAGGCCCTGTGCCTACTTCCAGTACCATCCCCAATTCTGAGTCATGTGTGTGTGTGTTTGTGTGTGTGTGTGTTTAAACACGCAGCCTGCAGCCAAGTGCAGGAGTTGGAAAATCTGCCTGTCCACCTACTGCAGGATCCTGGGTTTGTTTCCAACCTGCTCAGCTCAGTGCTGCCCTCTGCAGGAGGGGGCAGGAACAGGAAGAGCGGAAGAGGTTGCTTTGATTAAGTACACGCAGAGCACAGGGGAGGCCTGCTCTTGTGAGAGAAGGGTAAACATTCACGACTCCTAGTGCAGACCCGCTGCACCCTTTTTAGTGATTGTGAAATACCCATTTTATGAATGACCACAGTTGCCTTCCAGGCGTCTAGTGATGACAGTTAATTTTTATTTGCTGTTTTGAATAATTCTGCCATAAATATTATTGTCCATGTTGACCCACATATTTCTGATATAATATAATCGTGTCTGTAGGATAAAACCCTAAAGTGGGAACTGCCGAATCAAAGGATATGTGCAATTTTAAGACAGAATTCTAAATTCAAAAACATTCTAACTTCTCAAAGCAATCTCAAAATTACAGAAAGTTGCGAGTAGGAGGCAAAGAACTCCCCTCTCCTAACCAAGTGTCAGCATTTTAAACTAACAAGTGCAAGCTTGGGTAGAACTGAAATCCAGCCACCAAAATGGGCGAACGTCCTTGTGATCGTCTAATTGTCAGAGCCCAAATCCACCTGTCTTCCTGTAAGTTGTTAGGGTTGGGTATCGCGTCCCAGGATCGAGCACCGTCCAAGACAGCGAGTGTTCTGTCTGGGACAGGATGGGTGCAGATGCATTTGAAGATTTCAAAAGCCATGTCACATGCCGGAGAATGTGTTTTGCATCTCTATTTCTGCCTCCCCAGCGCCTCCCTCGAATCTGTACTAACCTAACCTGGCTCCCTAACCTTCTGGCCTGCCTTTCCATGGCCTCTTCTGGTTCCCCTGTTTGGGGAGGGCTTTCTCCTTCTCAAGGCTGTGTGTTCCAGAGGGCAGCAGAGGGCCTCTTCCTCCTTCCTTAATGGTTGCCTGGAGCCTGGCCTCTGTGGGACTTAGGGGCAGGTATGACAGGGAGCTGGGGTCATTCCCTCCCTCATGCTGGCAGGAAGCTCACCATGGAGGACAGGCTCAGGGAGTGCACTTTAATTTCATTGCCTGTGGGTCTGCATCTCGGGATGACCAGGCAGGCCTGGCCCCTGAGGGTTACTCTTGGGCTTGGGCTCATCTCAGCTCATAGATGGGACCCCATGGGAGAGAAGGTCCCTGGTCCACCAGGAGCCTGTCATGGAGTCCAGAAGTGTTGGGCTCCTTGATGGCAAGTCCAGGACCAGCCTGGGAAGGCCTGCTGTTACTTGCCCACCACCTCCTGGGGCCTGTGGCTCACCAGCAGGCAGGAGTTGACACTGGACCTGGAGATGGTGGCAGTGAGGCTGAGGCAAGTATTACAAATGTGTACACAGTGACGTCTCCAACTGGGGGCTCAGCTGAAGTGAGCCAGCATCGATCCAGAGAGGAAATCAAGCTGCCCCCCCATGCAAAGGGAGAGGGAGCTTTTATTGATTTGCTGGGGTGGGACAGAGTCCAGTAAGTTCCCATGGGCCAGCTCTATGGTTCCAGAGATATTTCTTATGGTATGATAACTGGCCACTGGGAGGCCATGGCCAATATGTTCCAGAGGCTGTTCAATTTTTGTGTAGCTGACACCATCATCCTGCACAAAACAGCCTGGCCTTGTGGGTCTGGAGTCTGTGGCAGGGTTGGAGGACTCAGGTGCTTGTGGGGCGGGCACAGAGCTTGTGAGAGAAATAAAACAGTTACATTTGGATTTCAGATACATAAGGGACAATTTTTAGTTTATGTTCTCAGTATGTCATGGGGCATCCTCATGTGAAAACATTATTTTTTTGTTTATATAAAATTCAAATTCAATTTAGCACCTTGTATGGGGATATCAGGCGAATCTGGGAGTGTCTGGGTCATACCCAGGAAGGTCGAAGGTAGAGTATTCACTTGCAGCCACTACACAAAGACAGCGGCAGACAGGATGAACCAGACTTTGGAGGCAGCACGGTCCTCACTTGGTGATACTATTTGGATCCATTTGGCAAGTGATTGGAAGATTGGTGCGGGACATGGAGAGCGGGGAAGATTCTGTGGGCGTTAATGCAAGTCACTCGGGTCAGGCAGGGATCTGGAGAGAATCAGATTGGGAGACTGGAGTCAGTGCCCCTACTGGGGCAGGGCTGTCTGGGTCCATCTGAGAGACTCCTCTGCCACAGGAAGCCTGGCCTAAGCACTGCTCCGTCGAATACCTGACAGACACCATGGCCCTCTATGTGGTTTCACCGCAGAGTGGCCAGACAGCCCATTGGGTTGCTGTGTATTTTGGGCATTTAGTGGGAGCTGACGAGATAGTTTAAAATGTAGATTAAAGAAGGACTCAAGATTTCCATGTTGCAATGAGATGCCAAGACTCATTTTTCCCCTTCTAGAAACAACAAAGTAACCTGGAAATTATTCATTGGGCAAGAGATAAAGGACTCTGGAAGTTGGGTAGAAGAGGTGGACTGGCTGGAGAACTCAGGACTGGATGGTTATATCATATGCTGATTATTTTGAGTTTTCTGTTCACCTCCAATTGCCCTGGACTGGGTGCCAGGGAGACCTGCACACAGAGCAGATTCTAGAGAATGAACACTTTTTCTCTGGCTCCAGAACTGGGAAGGGGATGAAGCAGGGAGCAAGAGGAGCTTCAGCCCTGCTCAGTAACCCAGTGGGCTCAGGGGCACAGCCAGGCTCCAGCCATCCCAGCCCTGCCCTGTGACCACCTGCCGGGGTGGGGGCAGCTCCTCTGCCCACAGCAGCACAAAGCCACAGGTCTTCCCTCTACCCAGGGATGTAAGGAGACCCAGGCCTGTGGCTTGTGACCCTGCCCAGGTGACCTTGATTATAGTGTGTGGCCCAGGAGCTGCTTTTGCCCCACAGATAACACCAGCAGGGACTAAGCAGGAGCCCCAGAAATACCAGAGTGACGAATCAGACCCATACAGCACAAACGCAGGCAGGACCTATACCTAAGCCTGAATGGGTGACTCTCTCCCAGGACAGGAGCCAGGGTCCAGTCTACCGTGCTGACCCAGTGAGCAGGGTCCAGCATGGAGTTACCGGTCATACCCAGGGCCAGGAATACTGCCTGGAGTGGAAACAGTGTTCCGAGGATGTTGTGACTATGCTTCAAAAACAAGGCCATAAAAATACCTCCTGACCAATTCCATATCATGGCTTAACAAAATACCAATAGTTAGAACTGGACCAGAAAGTCACTGTTAGCTGTGTGATTGGGGAGGAGTTTCAACCTTGCTTTTGATTTCTCTGTCTAAGAAGTGGACAGTGGATGCCTTACCCAGGAGGAAAGGCAGAGCACAGGGCCACGATGGCAGACACAGCTCATCGTCTCCCAGAACCATATCCTTCCTGGATATGTCTGGGTGAAAATGTGCAGTGAGGTTCCGTGCATAAATTGATCAGCCTGACCCTTCCTCTTCCCACTGACAGCCAGCAGAGGCTGTGCTCTCTCTGATGGACAGCTGCAGCTGGGTTCTCCCAGACAATGCCACAACAAGCTGGAAACCTCGACCAAGCCCAGCTGAATTGTCCTGTGGCCAATCCCTGACGACTCCACTATGTCAAGGCTAAAACACTGAACCAATCCCAGATGACCCACCCCCTTGGTGGCTCTATATAAGCCGTGCTCCCTCACACACCCTGGGTTAGTTGAGGGCTCTTCTGGGGCACTGATCCAAATAAAGCCTCACTCCAGTGGTTCTTGTAAAGCTGTGATTCATTTCTCTAGTAGTGTAGGCTCAGAAGACCCTGTAAATCTACTGAAGATTCTTGTGTGGGAAGAGAGGCACTCCCTAAAAAGAGTTATGAATGCTAGGGGCTGTGAGCCTCGGAGCCTTCCTGAGACCAGGGCAGAGACCATTGACTAGTGGTGACAAGTGGTG